GGCGAGTCGCGGGTCTCCGCCGCCGAAGGAGGCGGCACCGGCCGCGTTTGGGGGAGGGCCACTCGCGTCCAAGCGCCCTAAGTTCAACGCCGCGAGGCAGCGTGACGCCTGCGTCCTGGCAGTCCTGCGTCGTGCCATAAAGCCGCTCGTGGGACTCAACGCCGCGAAGCAGCGTGACTGGCGCGGGGGGGGGGGGATCCGCCGCGACATCCCGCTGCGGCCGAGCCTCGTCCGCATGTAGCTCTGAGGGGCACCGCTCGCCGCGGAACTGTTCATCTGGCGGCCGCCGCCTCGCGCGGGTCGCCGGCGGAGACCACGGATGAGAGCCGCGAGCGGGTCGAAGTTTGTTAATGCAGCCATTTGTGCAAGATTTTGGGCCAGCTGTTCGCCTTTCTGTTCCTCCTGGGTGGTGCCGCCGTCGCGGCGAGGAGGAGGAGGAGGAGGAGGAGGAGGAGGAGGAGGAGTAGGAAGAGTTAGAACGAGGAAGGAAGCAGAAGCACATGGGCCCCTCGTTTCCTCCTCCTCCTGCTCCTCCTCCTCCTCCTCCTCCTCCTTCCCCTTCTGTTTCTCCTCATTGTGTTTTTCGATGTCGTCGTGTTCCGTCGATGTGTTTCGTGGTGTCTATTATTCCCAGTTGTGCTCCTTCCTGAAGAGCCGAATGGCAAGAGAGAGCTAGAAGAAACACGGAGGAGGAGGGGTAGAGGGACGAGCTTGACGAGGAGGAGGGGCAGGAGGGAAGTTGGAAAAGAAGGGGGCGGTGAAGGGAGGAGGCTGGGGGAGAAGGAGTAAACAGAGGAATCGGGAGGAAGAAGAACGACGAATTAGGAGCGAGGGACGAGGAACCAGGGACGGAGAAGGAGGAGGAGAGACAATAGGACTTCGCAGCGGCGAAGGACAAGCAGGGAGGCGCACGACGAGGATGAGAACGTTGTCGTTAAGGAAGTTGCTTTTGTTTCTGTACCGTGCCACATTCCCAGCTATTTGCATCATCCCATCCTGCGCCACCGCCCTGCCACATTCCCCCCCTCCCTCGCCGCAGCGAGTTCCCACCCTCCCCGCCGCTATACGTAGACCAATGTTGGCCCAAGCTACGGATGCTCGGTATCCAGCTGCCTGCGGCAAGCCCCGCCAAGGTGCCCATGTAACAGCGCAGCGGGAGCCCGACTGGGCGTAGGAGCGGCGCGATTCCGACGACTGGTCTGAACTGCGTCGTCTGGCTCGTGAATTCGACTGCGTCGTCGCTCGTGAATTCGACATCGTCGTGAATTCGACTTCGTGAATTCGACTTCGTCGTGGAACTGCGATTCCGACGACTGGTTCGTGAATTCGACTTCGTCGTCGCTCGTGCGGCAGGGGGAGGTTTACTCGTGGGGGCCTCGGAGGGCGCCCTGCGGGGCCTCGGAGGGCCGTCTGGGTGCCCTCCTGGAAGATTGAGCGCCGACTTGGGGCCGTTTTGGGACGCTTCCGGGTGATCCAATGCCGACTTGAGGCCGTTTTGGGGTTTTCTTGTGCCGTTTTGGGCCATTTTGGGCTGTTTTGGGCCGCCTCAGGGCCGACTTAAGGCCGTTTTGGAATCTTCTTGGGCTGACTTGGGGTTCTAATTGGGGGCCCCATGGGCTACTTGGGCGCCAACTTCGAGGCCTTCTGGGCCGTCTTGAGCAGTCGGAAACCCAAGCAGGTGAGAACCTCATAATCCTGCAACAGCCGGATGAAAAGCAATGTGCTTCCCCTCCTCTCGACAGGAGCGAGATGGGTACGGAAAGAATGGAAATAATGCCCAACAGCAGTTCCTGTTCATTCTGGACAGGACTCGCTGTCCGTGTCGCCGCGGCCTGTGTCCATTTGTGAGACAGAAGGCCGTCTGCCCAACAACGGCCTCTGTTTGGTTTCGGACAACACTTGTTGTTCGGCATTGTGCTTATATTTTCCGTACCATTTCGGGCGTCCCATCCTCGGACTCGCCAAGGGGTCTTCGTGGAACCTTCTTGGGCCGTCGTGAAATCCTTATGCCGTCTTGGGCCGTTTGGTAGCCTCTTATGCCGTCTTGGGCAGCTCATCTTCCGCCGTTTGGGTGCCATCTTGGGTTCCCTGGAAGCGACTGGAGTCCGGAAGCCGAAAACAGCGCTGGAGGGCAAATGCATGCGGTGCTCGAGCGATGCGTGCGGTGAGGGGGGCTGGTCTGCCCTGGAAAACATGTGCTACCCTTCCAGACAACAGCAGGAGAAGTTCTGTACAGGTCCTTAGCCCAATGGGGTGGTGTCTGGGGGGGAGGTCTTGTTCAGGCGCGATCTCGAACACTCAGGAGGGAAAGAAACACACAGACACAATTAATCGTCGATTCCCGAGAAAATATTTAGGAAAATATGGGAAGGTGGGGGAGACAAAAACCCAGAAAATATGGAAACATATGGGGAATCCGGTTATTTGTGTGTATTTATTTGTGTGTCCTTGGGCCCCTTGAAACACGCCCTCCGGGTGTCATGTTGGCGGCCTGTGAGGCTCAGGGGACCTCAAGACGAGACGGCCCAAATGGCCCCCAAGACGGCCTCGGAGAGACCCCAAGAGGCCCCGTGGACGGTCCAGGAGCGCTTCCAGAGGGTTCTTGATGGTCGGGTCACGGTCCAAGAGGTCCCCAGGAGGAGGAGGAGGAGGAGGAGGAGGAGGAGGAGGAGGAGGAGGAGGAGGAGGAGGAGGAGGAGGAGGAGGAGGAGCGGATGAGGCAGAACATGCCAGTCTTGAAAGGGTTGTGGGTGCCTCCCTTTCGGGGCAAGACCGGCCAGAAACGGCCATGGGCGTCTCCGAGATCGCGCCGACGCAGTCCCAAGAGGGCTCCAAGAGGGCATCAAAGAGGCCCACGAGGCCCTGAAGACGGCCCAAGAGACCCCCAAGACGGTCCCAGGAGGGTCCCACAGAGCCCCAAGAGGTTCCCAGGAAAGCCCCAGGGGTCCACAGAAGGGTCCCAAGAGGGCCCCGTGAGCGCCCCAAGTCTGCCAAAGCCCCCCGAGACAGTCCAAGAGGGCCCCGGGACAGCCCAAGAGGGGCCCGAAAAGGCCAAACAAAAACCAACAGACCCTCAGGAGAGCTTCAAGATGCTTCCAACAGCCTCCCAAGAGGCCTCTCACGAGCGAGCGGTGACGAGAAGAAACGCTGCAATCTGGCCGAAGCTCCCCACGACTGTCCAGGAGGGTCTTGGACCGGCCCAAGGGGACTGCAAATCGGCCCCAAAGGACCCCCAACAGGCCTCCAAGAGGCTCAAGAAGCCTTCTGTGAGCAAACACTGACGTAAAGAAACATTGAACGCCAAGGCTCCCAAGAGCGAATCGTGGCGTGGAAAGCTCTTCACGCCAAGGCCCCCAAGAGCGAACGGTGCCATGAGCCCTCCGGGCAAGAATTGGTCCAGTGACGGACACAACTCTAACGCCCAGGCTCCCGCCCTCAGACGGCCCGGTGACGGACACAGTTTTCATACCGAGCTCCAGGCGACGGAGCTCCAGGCGACGGAGCACTCCTCCTTCTCTTCCTCCTCCCCCTCCTCCTCCTCCTCCTAATTTTCCTCCTCCCCCCCCCCTCTCCTCGTCCTTCTCCTCCTCCTCCTCCTCCTCCTCCTCCTCCTCCTCCTCCTCCTCCTCCTCCTCGGGTCGCCTACGGCCCCAGGGGAAACCGTACACCCCATCCGCCCAAGATTTTCCGATAGCCCCCCTCAGAGCGGACAAGAGTTATGATGTTCCAACCTAGCTTGGACTGAACCGCCAGAAATAATCTCGAGCACCAAGAAATTATCGAAGCTTGAGGGTTTCACCTGTGGGGTCCTGGAAGGCGATGCAGGGTCCAGCTTGATGCAGGGTCCTGTTTTCCAAAGGGGGCTCGGTCGTTCTTTTGGTTTGCATGCGTTCCGCTGCCTCTGCGGCGGCGAGTCCCCCTGGTGCTCCTGCGGACGCCGTGGATCTACTTGGAAGAAAAGGGGCGTCGCTCCTTATGTATCGTTCCTCAGGGCAGGCCGAATACTGGAAGACAAGAGGGCCTGAAGACGGCCCCGGAGAGGTCCAAGAGAGCTCCACGGCGGCCCAAGAGCGCCCCAGGAGTGCCCAGGGCCGCCCGAGGGCACTCCGAGATGGCCTCGAGGCGGTCCAGGAGGGCCCCGAGACGGCCCCAGGATGCCTTCAAGAGGACCCCCGGGAAGGTGAACACAATTAGTTGGACAAGAGGCTCATGGGCTGGTGATTGTGACGTGCACGTACCGGATCCTCTAGAGAGGAGGGTTGGTAGTTGTGCGCGTGTGCGTGGATGCGCCATTACACTCTGGTCGTTGGAGAAAAAAAAGAGGGCCCTGAGAAGGCTTCAGAGGCGAAAACCTTGATTTCCCAAAGGTGCTTGATTGTTTTTTGGAGTTCTCGCCCTCTCGGGCTTTCGACGGCCCAATAGGCCCCAAAGGAGGGCCCAAGAGGGCCCCACTACGGCCAAAGAGGGCCTCAGGATGGTACAAAAAAGCCCCAGGAGGGCCCAAAGAGGCTCCCGAGAGGGCCCTCGAGAGGCCCCCAAGAGAGCCCCAAGACGGCCAACGCCCCGCACGACGGCCCAGAAGGGCCCCAGGACGTCCCAAGATGATGAGCCCCAAGTGCTCAAGAGTACCCAGAGAGGACCCCCATGAAGGCCCGGAGAGGCCAAAATCTTGAGGTTTCTGACGGCTGGTCTTGTACTGCTGTTTTCTTATGTCGTAGCACGCTCTGAACACCGAGGTTCCTCAGCACGGGCGACGGTGTGAGCCCCTGGGCCCCACGACGGCACGGTGACGGACGCAGCTCTGCCGCCCCAGGCTCCCGCCCCCAGACGGCCCGGTGATGGGCACGGCTTTCGTGCCGAGGCTCCCCAGAGGTCCAGGTGACGGAGCACCCCTTTAATTCAGGAGGGAAAGAAACACACAGACACAATTAATCGTCGATTTCCTCCTCCTCCTCCTCCAGCTCCTCCTCCTCTTCCTCCTCCTTCTTCTCCGTGCAGGCACGGATGCGGATATCTTTAGCCAAGTTGTCTCTCATCAGCCCGGCCTGGTTTCACCGCCTCGGCGATCCCTCGTCCCATGGACGACAGGGTAACATTGCTGTTGTTGTTCCTGGCGGTGATTACGCTCGGAGGAGTAGCCAGCAAGCTGTCTTACCAGATTGAGGACACCGGCGATCCCAGATACCCCCCACACTTCTTCAAGAAGCCCTGGTTTCTGGAGCTGCTCATGTTCAGCGGCATGGTCCTCTCCTTCCCTGTCTACTGGGCCATGGAGTGCACCAGCAGGAGCAGCAAGGTCCAGCCCGACGCCGCCGGTGTGCCCCTGCTGGGCAGGGAGCCGCAGGGCAGGGGCTGGAAGGTCCGGGCCATGATCTTTCTGCCCGCCATGGGCGATCTGGTCAGCAGCATCCTCAACTTCACGGGGCTCGTGTATGTGAGCAACAGCACCGCCCAGATGCTCGGCTCTTCTCGGGCCGAACGAAAGGGGGGGATAGGGAAAGATGGGGGGGGTACGACATCTGCTGCATTACGCAGCTGGCTTCTGCCCTCCGAGAGGCCCGTTCCTCGACGCCTGGCCGCCTCCGGCGCCGGGCGGCGCCGGGAAACTCAGCTACGTGAGCTGAGTCTCACCCCCCCCCCTTGCCATCCCCCCCTCTCGCCCGGCCCGGCCTTCCATCATCGTCATGGTCGCCTACAACAGCTACGTCATCCTGGGGCGGCGCTACAACCGGATCCAGTACGCGGGCATGGCCCTGGTGCTGGGCTCCCTGCTGATCGTCGGCTGGGCGGCCAGCATCTCGGCCCACGAGGCGGGGGGCGGGCGCAGAGCTCTCGGCGAGGCGCCGCTGCCCCAGCAGTTCTTCGGCATGTTCCTGTGCGTGGCGGCCAGGGCTGTGGGCAGCATCCAGTTCGTCCTGGAGGAGAAGGTCATGAGCGACAGCAGCCTGCACCCCCTCGAGGTGGTCGGCACGGAAGGCGTGTACGGCTGGCTGGTGACGGCGTGCGTGATGATGCCTTGAGTCTGCCTGGGGGTCAGAGATCGGCCCGTTCTCTTAAACCCCCAAATCGGGTGGCGAAGGGGGGTGGCGACATGTGGTGGCGACAGGCGCGGGGCGGCGAAACTTGGGGTCGCGTTTTTTTCGTGGGGCCACGGGATGAGGACACTCGCGGGTGTCGTCGTCAATATGTTGGGCCATTATCGGGTCAACATCAACATTCGCCCAAAATCTCGCTTAACTTTCCCATCATTATTCTCCCCTCTATATATGCCCCTTCTCCTCATCCCTTATCCCTCGCGTCTTCCCGTCCCCTCCTCCCCATCCCATTCCCCTTTCATTGGGGCGGGGTAAAGAATATGAGGGGGATGGGCGAAAAAGTAAGGGAAGGAAAAGAGAGAGGAAGGAGGGACGAGACAGGAGGGAGGAGGAGTTAAACGGGGGGAGGCAAACAGGGGAAGAGGGGTGATGACGTATGCACTTAGATGGATACATGAACGAGCGAGCGGTTTATGTCATGCGTGGTATCCCGAGTCTCTGGGCGGGGTGGCACCGCGTTCCAAAATGAGTTGTCCATGCTGAGCATTCGGGGGCCCCGCATTGCGTGGAGGCATCGTTTGGACCACGTCGCTACCGTAACCATTTTGGCTCAAACAGCGCTTCGCTGAGCTATCGCTGCACGCATGATTCAGATCATTGCAATATCAGTTATTATCCATATCTCTGCAGGTCTCGTGATTGACGCTTTGGTCTCCGAGCCTGCCTCCATATTCAAGTACATCGGCAGCGACAGCTCCGATTCCATATTCAACATCGGCAGCGACAGCTCCGAGACCATCTTCAACATCGGCATCGGCAGCTCCGAGACCATATTCAACATCGGCATCGGCAGCACCGAGACCATATTCAACATCGGCAGCGGCAGCGATACCATATTCAACGGCATCGGCAGCGAGACCATATTCAACATCGGCAGCGGCAGCGAGACCATATTCCAACACATCGGCAGCGAGACCATACTCAACATCAGCATCGGCAGCGAGACCATATTCAACGGCAGTGACCCTGTTTTCAACATCGGCATTGGCAGCGACCCAATATTCATAGACATCGGCAGCGACAGCAACACCATATTCAACTACATCGGCAGCGACGCCATGGCAGATCAATTGGACGAGGTGCTCAATGACTTACAGTTGTCAGGCGACGAGGGCGTTCGCGACCAGCCCCCTGTCCCCGATCAGTTGCAGATCCCCGACTTCGATGAGTTCGAAGAGATGCAGATCGAGCAGCGTTGCAGTGAGCCACCTCCCCGAAAGGATGGTCGGCATTCCGACCGCCACCTCGGCAAGATGAGAGCGGCCAGGGATAAGAGGATTAAGGACAACTTGCGGCAGCAGCTGAAGGTCTGGATTGGAAAGGGTTGCTAGGGCCTGCGGCTGCGATTCCACGCCCCTGCGTCGTTGACCCAGCGCGCTGGGTTGGCTAGGCAGGGGCGGTGGGCGCGCAGAAACAGGCGCTCGCATGCCTTTCCCATCCCATAAGGAACAGAAGAGTGCACACAACGCGATCATCAGGAACGTGGCGACGATGGTGCCAGGCGCGGAGCTGGTTACGGGACGGACTGGTCAAAGTTCGGCGCTGGGGCGGAAGCGCAAGCGTCAGGCCATCTGTGAATGCCCAAACGCTCCATTATCACGCCTCCTCCCGCACCCCCCGAGTTTGATTTTTCAGATTTGTTTTTTGAAAAAGCTTGATTCGGGGCCGGTGTTTTTGGAGCGTTTGAGCTTCCGACTTCCGAGGCGAGCGACTTCGTGCTCGCGTCGAGGGCGGTGTTCGTGAAGCTGAAGGCGAAGGTGAGCATGGGCGTCAGGCAGAACCGCATGCAGACGGTGGCCTGCGCAGTGGCACAGCATCGACAACGTCGGGCAGTCGAGCACTGCATCGAGAGGGCCGCGGATGCCCTCGGCGTCGGTGGCCGAAGGGTGCACTTGTCTTTCGGGCACATGTGGGACGAAGTGGAGGTCAAGCAGGCGTGGCGCCCATCGGCCAAGTACCGCATGCTGCGGAAAAACGTGTCCATGCCAACGCTCGTACAACGAGGCACCGTCGGCCTCGCCCTCGCCGACCTCAATCGGGGCAAGTTCAAGCAGCATCAGAGCTACTGGCTGGCGCAGCCGATCGAAGTCCACGGCGCGAAGGCCAGGGACCTTCTGCCAGGGATCGTGAAGGGGTCGCCGACCAACTTCAACGTCAACGACACCGAGACGATAACCGAGACACTCTCCAAGGTATCGAGCCTGACGGTCATGCCGATGTGCGACAGGGCCAGCGCCAACGTGAGTATCCTCAAGCAGTTGGGCAGCACCGTCGAGAAGCTGAGCACTGAGCTCGGGGAGACTGGCCACAAGCTACTTTTCTGGGCAGACACGTGTGGCATCCATGCCCACCATCGCGGCAAGTTGAAGTTACGGGGCTTACGTGGGCACACAATGCGGCATTATTCAATTGCCTCGATGTCCAGATACCGAGGGAACCTGTCCCGCTCTATCAGGGGCATCGAGAAGATCGTCGAAGCTAAGCTTCATCGCGATGTTGGCCAGGCGCATCCCTGCCCTTACACGCTGGAACAGGTTGCGGACATCTTCTACGATTTAGGTGCTGAACGTCATCAGCGACCACGCAAGGATGGCAGTCAGGGTGGCGAGTCGCAGCTCATCACAGACCTGAAGGAGTTGATGGCCATGGCCAACGGGGACCTTACCGCTGATAGGTGGGTCCACCACTGCTGGGACGGCGAGCGCAACCGCCCGTGCTGCAAGACGAGGGCCGAGGCAGTGGAGAAGATGACGGTTGCAGCAGTACACGCTTTATATGGCAGCTCGGACCCTCGTCCAGCAGAGTCCCGATGGACGCATTTACTACCCAGCTTCAAGCGCACGCTGGTGCGCAGACTTCTCCATAGAGTAGGGCTCGATTGCTTCGTGGACACAATACCTGAGGGCGAACTTGACGGCTTGGACGGGCAGCAGATCGGCGTCGAACAGGAGGGCACGGACGCGTTCTTCAAGCACATCATCCGCGTGCGCACCAAAAAGGTGAGGGATTATTACGCAGACGACCTGAACATGCAGCAGCTGATCGTATTTACTGCCATCCTCGAAGCCGCGGATGGCAACTTGCTGTACCCTCTCCTCGGCGACGCGATTGAGGACAAGGCCGAAGATATGAGCAAATTGGATAAGCTCTTGGACGAGGACTCTGTCATCGCCAAGTTCAGCCAAGACATGGTAAACCTCATAGACACCTGGAACAATGGAGATTCATCGAGGCGGCCTCTCATGCTGCTGGATATAATCAACGCGCCATTGACCGACCAAGGCTTCTCCAGATGGGCCAGGGGACAGATGCTCAAGATCAACTCGGTCATGGCGCGCAGATACGAGAGTCGATTCAGCGCGTGGCCCTATAGGCTCTACCCTCTGTCGCACGGCCGCTCCACGGAGGCCGACAGGCAAAGGGTCGCGCGCGAAACGTTGGGTGCTCCGGACCACATGATCGACACCTACACCAGAGGGATCCGCAAACTCTTTAGCACCGACGCCGCCTTGACATCGCTAGAGTGCCAGATGGTTTTGGCAGCCGATTTTAGAGCGCACTGCTACGGGACGGACATGATAGAGAGGCTGAACTCCTTGTACACAGCTCGCCATCCAGTGCGAGCTCCAGGCAGGAACTCCATCAACGCTGAGCGGGAGCACTTCCTCGACCAGCTCAAAGCGGTTCACGTGAGCAGCGGTGGCGACGACCCTCTTACCCCTTCTCGTCTGGACAGTGTGTCGGCGGACGAGACCGTGTCGTGCTTGCCTCTCTTGGAGGGCGCTTCTTTCGGATCGGTGCCAGCGGTGCCAGTTCTCCCAGCGATTGAAGGCCCCCCTGGGCCCATGGCGATCGAGGACGCACCAGCGCTGGCGGACGAACGTGCCATCGTCGTGGCAGCACCTGCAGCAGAACAACATCAGTTCGAGGATGCCATCGTCACTCGCATCCCGAACCCGAACCAGCTGCCAGGCGCCGCCGAGGCCAGTCGGCAGGACGATCGCCATGGCATCAAACGGGGGCTTAGCGTTTACATGCTGGGGCAAAACAAATACCTCGAGGATGCGAAGAAGGCGAAAGGGCGCAACCTGACACCTGACGAGGTCACGCAGCACAGAAAACAGTTTCAGGAGATGTTCGCAGAGGGCGACCAGGATGTCTACCAGGAAGCTTACCAGGAGTGGCAGCACAGCAGCGCGGCAGCACAGCCAGACGTACGAGAACAGCCGTATGCACAATGGTGGGGCGGGGGGAGCCGTGCGAGCCCTTTTACGCCTGCTGAGCTCTGTCAGTACATCGACCAGCACGGGTGGCCGAAAGACCGAGAGGTGTACGACGCGGACCTTACTGCAAGGAAGGTCGACTCGGACCGCAAGACCAACTTCGAGGATACCGACGGGTTCGACCCTTGGGGGATTTCGCGTTCGGCGAGAAACGCCGACAAACGTGCGTCAAGGGTGCCAGCCGCCTTTGACGTCGTGGAGAAGGGGATCTTCAATTTCCTTGTCTCTATCAATGCTGGTAAGGGCGACGACGACGCCTCGGACGTGCTGCTCGTCATTGCAGGGCGAGCTGCGCACGGAGGAGGCCACAAGCGCGTGGCGAGCCTGGTCACCGACATCACCTTTAGCCCGCAGGTGTTCGACGTGACGTTGAACGAGTTCGAGCGGGCTGCCGACGCGGTGTCTGAGGAGACGATTCGGGCTCGGAACGGCCACCGCCCAAGACCAAATCACTCCGGGACGATTTTAAATTTTTTTCGAAACAACGCGATTTCGGAGTTGGTTTTTTTGACGTTCAGGGCTGTGTTTCGAGCTACTGGGCTTTCGGGTTTCTGGCCTTTTCTGGGTAATGAGCTTCGTTGTCGTGGGTAGGTTTTGGTCGGGGCGGTGATCGTTCTGGGCACGAGGAGCTGGAGCTGCCTTCCTACGTGAACATTTCGATTCGGCAGAGCAGGTTGAGCCATAGATACAGCGCTATCAATACCAACACATCTGACGAGTGGATCTTCGACTTAATCCAGCAGTTCGATGACATGGACCTCTACTCAGCCGAATACGAGATATGCCACGACACTGGGACTCTGAGGAGATCAAAGATTGTGGGGCTGCAGCTCATTGGACGCATATGGGAACCAAACCAACGTAAGCCATTAACGTTCAGACGTGGAGGCAGGCGGCTACGGATGCAAGAAGAGGACCCCATTCAGCGAGGCAGCCCAAGCAGATGCAGATCGACTCTTAGGCCGAGGTCGTCGTGGAGGGGCTGGCCGTGGCCGAGGGAGATGCGCAGGGGGGCGCGGCCGCGGCGGCGGTGCTCGAGGGGGGCGTGGCCGCGGGCGTGCAGGAGCAGCCGAGGGACCTGAAGGACACCAGCCACCTGGAGTTCCAGAGGGCCCTTTGCCCATTGCCGACGCTGGCTCACCAGAGCATGAAGATCAACCTGCACCCGATGGCGAGTTCGACCTCGCGGACGTGGAGTGCCAGTCAGAGGTCACGGAGGTGGAGGAGCTCGAGGCAGTGCACTTGGAGGCGGGACTACCTGCCGAACTGGGTGAACCTCATGTTCCAGCTGTTGCGCCAGATGATCGCGAAGGGGATCCTCACTGCGGCGGCGGGGACTTCCTGGATGAGGAAGCGGCCGCCGCCATGGCTGAGGCTGCTTTGGGTTTCATGGAGGAGGAGGAGGAGGAAGGGGGTGACACAGGCGCAGGGTCATCCACGGATCCGCCGCTGCCCCCTCCCCCTGCCCCTCCAGGGCCTCCGCCGCCCCACGAACCTTGGGGGAACCTCGATGGGCCCACGCCCCAAGGGTACTTTTTTCAAGACGGTAGGCAGGTTCTTCGAATTCAACGGGGGCGCCCAGCGAACTCGGTGACCATTACATGCTTCAGACACCGCTCCTGTGCGGTTTGCGTTCCCATGGCCTTATGCGGCTCAGATGCTGCAATTTTCAAGTGGCTCTTTGAAGTCGACCCGACGCCCCCTGGCGCAGCCCTGGATATTAACAAGCCGCTGGCCGAACAGCACAAGGCCTCAGCCAGGGCGATGTGGAGCGCCAAGGCGCACAAGGCTAAGGCCAAGGCCGCAGCAGCTGAGGCCAAAGCCAAAGCCAAAACAAAACCGAAGTGATGCAAGCTAGCCGCAGAGCCCAGCCCAGCTACACCGCCCCCCCCCCCCCCGCCTTTAGGCCAAAAACAAAACCAACTAAAAATCCAACAACGATGCGCATAGCTTGCATCTCCTCGGCAACTGTGGTTTTCCCAGGGCAGGGTCCCTGGCCGTTCTCTGGCTGACGGGAGGGCGACGGGGAGGAGGAGGGGGAGGAGGAGGGCGAGAAGGAGGAGGAGGGGAGACAGAGGAGGTGGGCGAGGAGGAGGAGGAGGAGGGGAAGGGGGTGGATGATGGGTGCGGAAATACACGATGCGAGCGGGTAGGAGGAGGAGGAGGAGGAGGCAGGGGGGGGGAGGGGGAGACGGACGAGGGGGGGGGGGAGGAGCAACCAAGGCGAAATGGGCGCGGAGGGGAGGAGGACAGGCAGGAACACAAGAAACACTAAGGATTGGCGTGGAGAGGAGAACGGGGGGCAGGAGGAACGGATGAGTGCAAGATGAGGGACTGGAGAAACAAGAAGCTGCCCGTGCACGCCACGGGGCACCAAAAGGACTGACGAGAGAGCGAGACGTTTGGCCGCCCTCCAGGAAAAAAAAAGAGCTTGCCACGACAGCGAGGCTCGACACCCGTATCTCGTAAAATAGACACACCGACGCAACGAACGCGCGCGCGCGGACGCACGGGCGCGCGCACACAGACACGCACGCGCACGCACGCGGGCACACAACGCACACATATACACGCACGCGCACACGCATCACGCACCAACAACCACAAAACTGCAACGCCCACTCGGGCCACACCGACAAAAACAACTACCGCAATAATAACAGCAGCAATAACACAAACAACGCCCATAACATATATATATATACACACATAGGTAGACGGGGCCCCGCTCACTTGCGCCCCCCCTCCCCCCTCCCTCCCCAAGAAGCAACCATTCCCAGTGCGCCTGACGGCGCCGCAATAATTGGACAGCCGCAACAAACGCCTACGCGGCATTGGGCACTGCATGCTCAACTGAATATGAGAGCAAACTTGCGAAAACAAAAAACACAAATTCCGAACGCAACGCTTCCGAAAACATGCCCATATCGCAAGTGAAACATTTGTTTCTTTCTCATCCAGATCTCTGGTGACCCGCCCGTCAGCGGGTCACCTGTTGTGCGTGCTGTATGGGGAACGCATTGAATGGCAATGCGTCGCATCATGTTGAGGCCCAGAATGCAAGTGAAACAATTGGTCTTTCTCAACCAGTTTTCTGGTGACCCACCCCTTCGTGGGTCACCTGGTGTGCTTTCGCCGTATGGAGAGCTTATTGAGTGGCAATGCATCGCCTCATGTTGAGGCCCAGAATGCAAGTGGAACAGTTGGTTTTTCTCAACCAATTTTCTGGTGACCCACCCCTTCGTGGGTCACCTGGCGTGCTTGCGCCGTATGGAGAGCTTATTGAGTGGCAATGCATCGCCTCATGATGAGGCCCAGAATGCAAGTGGAAGAGTTGGTTTTTCTCAGCCAGTTTTCTGGTGACCCACCCCCTTGTGGGTCACCTGGCGCGCTTGCGCCGCAGGGGAAACGTATTGGGTGGCAATGCATCGCCTCATGTTGAGGCCCAGAATGCAAGTGGAACAATTGGTTTTTCTCAACCAGTTTTCTGGTGACCCACCCCTTCGTGGGTCGCCTGGTGTGCCTGCGCCGCATGGGGAAGTGCATTGGGTGGCGTTGCATCGCCTCATGTTGAGGCCCAGAATGCAAGTGAAACAATTGGTCTTTCTCAACCAGTTTTCTGGTGACCCACCTCTTCGCGGGTCACCTGGTGTGCTTGCGCCGCATGGAAAACTTATTGGGTGGCAATTCTATCCTCGCGTTGAGGCCCAGAATGCAAGTGAACCTATTGATTCTTCTAAATCAGTTTTCTGGTGGCCCACCCCCTCGCGGGACACCTAGCGCGATTGCGCCGCATGGAAAAGTATTGGGTGGCACTGCATCGCCTCATGTTGAGGCCCAGAATGCAAGTGGAACAATTGGTTTTTCCCAATCAGTTTTCTGGTGGCCCACCCCTCGTGGGACACCTGTCGCGCTTGCCCCGCATGGGAAAGTGCATTGGGTGGCATTGCATCGCCTCATGTTGAGGACCAGAATGCAAGTGAAACAATTGGCTTTTCTCAACCAATTTTCTGGTGACCCGCCCCTGTCGTAGGTCACCTGGTGTGCTTGCGCCGCATGGGAAAATGCATTGGGTGGCAATGCATCGCCTCATGTTGAGGTCCAGAATGCAAGTGCAACAATTGGTTTTTCTCAACCAGTTTCTGGTGACCCACCCCTTCGTTGGTCACCTGGTGAGCTTGCGTCGCATGGGAAAGTGCATTGGGCGGCAATGCATCGCCTCATGTTGAGGCCCAGAATGCAAGTGAAACGCTTGGTTTTTCTCAACCAGTTTTCTGGTGACCCACCCCTTCGTGGGTCACCTGGCGTGCTTGCGCCGCATGGGAAACGCATTGGGTGGCAATGTCTCGCTTCGTGTTGAGGCCCAGAATGCAAGCGAAATGCTTCGCTGTTCTCAGCCAGATTGCTGGCGCCCCGCCCGTCCGTAAACCACTTATTGTGAATGCGCCGTATGGGGCCGCATTGAGTGGCAATGCATCGCTTCGCGTTGAGGCTCAGAATGCAAGTGGAACAATTTGTTTTTTCTGAGCCAGCTGTTTGGTGACACTCCCGCCCGCGCGCCGCACGTTGTGCTTGCGCCGCGCGGGAAGTGCATTGAGTGGCAATGAATCGCCTCATGTAGAGGCAAAGAATGCACATGAAACATTTCGTTTTTCTCAAACAATGCCCTGGTGCCCCGCCCGCCCGCGGGCCACCTGTTGCGCTTCAGCCGCATGGGAAAGTGCATTGGGCGGCAATGCATCGCCTCTTGTTGAGGCAAAGAATGCAAGTGAAGCAATCGGTTTTCCTTTGCCAATTTCCTGATGGCCCACCTTTCCGTGGGTCCAATAATGCGATGTGCGACGCATGGGAAACGTGTTTTGCGGCCATGAAGCGCCTCATGTTGAGGCACAGAACACGTGTGAAACAATTTGTTGTTTGCTCAACCAGCTTGCTGGTGACCAACCCGTCCGCGGGCCGCCTATTGCGCTTGAGCCGCATGGGAAACGTAGCGAATGCCAATGCATCGCTTCATGTTGAGGCCCAGAATGCACATGGAACAATGGTTTTTTCTCAATTAGTTTTCTGGTGACCCGCCCCTTTCGTGGGTCACCTGTTCTGATTGCGCGGTATGGGATACGTGGCGAGTGGCATTGCATCGCCTCATGTTGAAGGCCAGAATGCAAGTGAAACAATTTGTTTTCTCAACCCGTTTTTTTGGTAACCCACCCATGCGTGGGCCACCTGGTGCGCTCGCGCCGCATGGAAAAGCATTGGGTGGCAATGCATCGCCTCATGTTGAGGCCCAGAATGCAAGTGAAACAATTTGTTTCCTCAACCAGTTTTCTGGTGACCCACCCCTTCGTGGGTCACCTGGTGCGCTTGCGCCGCATGGAAAAGGCATTGGGTGGCAATGCAACGCCTCATGTTGAGGCCCAGACTGCAAGTGAAACAATTGGTTTTTCTAAATTTGTTTTCTGGTGGCCCGTCAGCTCGTGGGTCGCTCGTTGCGCTTGCGCCGCATGGGAAGCGCATTGAGTGGCACTGCATCGCCTCATGTTGAGGCCCAGAATGCAAGTGAAACCATCTGCGTCGGCGTCGGCGAAGGCGCAGCAGTTGCTTGGGGGGTGGCGTCGGCGTCAGCGCAGGCGCAGGAGTTGCCGAAGCTTTCGGAGCCGCTCGGCCGAATCTACTCGGCCCTGCTGTAGTTGCTTCACAAGTTGCCACGGGCTTGAGCTCACTGGTCGAGTTGGCTATCTCGTTGTCGCCTCCCCGCGTCGCTGTCCTACGTCGCTTGGCTACGTCGGTTGACTACGTCGCTTGCCTACGTCGCTTGGCTACGTCGCTTGACTACGCGAGTCGACTACGCGAGTTGACTACCTCCGCGTGTTGACTACGCGTGTTGACTATGCCCCTTTCGCTGGCCTCTGCCCTTGACTACGCGAGTTGACTATGCCCCTTTCGCTGGCCTCTGCCCTTGACTACGCGAGTTGACTATGCCCCTTTCGCTGGCCATAGCGGTTGCTTCGGCGCGTCTCTCGGCCAGGCATATGCCGCCGCCAAGCGGAGTATCGCCGCCGCGCGTTTCGTCCCGAGTGAGTTACTCGACCGACTCGCTCGGTATCGGGCGGGTGACTCAGCCTCGCTGATGCGAGATGGGCAGGGCCACTCACCCCCGCTGGCATCGCGGGGGGTGAGCTACCTGGGGCACCTCGCCGAGCGTCGGCCGAGCACCATGCGCCCGCGCGCCCGATGTCGCGCTCGCGCGCGGGGGTCAAACCGCGCGGCGCGCCTGCTCTTCTCAAGGGGCGGTCGCGAAGCGCCTGTAGCGAAGGCCGCGGCGCTCGAACATTCGCGCGCGCACCCCCGCTTCGACCTATGCGTCGCCCAGCGTAGCAATGATGGAATGCTGCTCTGGAACATGAAGCGCGAGCGCTGCGAAAGGGCAGTCGGGCGTTCAATTTACCGCGGGTTTAGCGAATCTTTTGCGCCAGCCTCTGGGGCGCGGTGGATTGTGGCGCGCGCGCGCGCCCCGTGCACCTGCATGTTGACATGGGAATTAAAGCGCGCCCTCAGCGGTTGCCGCATGCATTTCCAAGTGAAGTCAGGGCCGCCAAGTGCTGACCAAGGGGGTCAGCGCGCGACGCGCCTATGATGCGCGAGCGCAGCGCAGCGATTGCTGCAATGTCCACGGCGAGAAATCGCCACGTCGGCCTCAACACTGAAGTGGGCCCTCGGCCGTGACCTATGGGGTCATAGCTACGATGGTTCATGTCATGAGAGTCGCTTGGCCGCGCGTTCGGCGCGCAGCCATGAGTTCTGCATTGCCCCGACCAGAAAAGCCGACATGTGATTCCAAAACTGAATTCATATTTTCTGTGGCCCGTTAAAGAGGCCGACGGACGCGCTGACTTTTCCATTGTGAACCAAACAGAAGGCCCCGCGCGCGCGCGCGCTGAGAGGTCTGCATTGTCCACAATTGGAAAGTCGCCGTGCTGGCCTGAAAACTAAAGAGAACCTTGAACGGTGGCCGACCCCATTTTGAAGTTAACGCTGGGTTGCGCGCGCGTAATCTGCCATGGGCAACGCAGAAATCATCTCGAGCGCCCGCGCGCGAGAGGAGCTTTGTATTGTCCACAATCCGAAAGTCGCAATGCTGGCATGGAAGTTAACATGAATTTGAAGCAGTGGCCGATCGGATTTTCAAATTACCATGGGTTTTGTGCGCATTGACTATGGGCAACGCAGTCTCCTGTCGCGCGCGCTGCGAGTTCTGAATGGTCAGAATCGGAATGTCGCCACTTTGGCATGTGAACTACAGTGACCCCCCATTGGTAACCGATCGGGTTTTGAAGTTACGCTGGGTCAGTGTGCATGGGACCTGTTTTATGTGCAACGCAGAACTCCTCTCGCGTGCGCTGAGAGCTCTGTATTGTCCACAATGGGAAAGTCACCATGTTGGCTTGGAAATTACATTGGCCCTCAACGGTGGCCCATGGGATTCTGAAGTTGACGCGGGTCTTTGTGCATGGAACTTGTCATGGGCAACACAGAACACATCCCTCGCGCGCGCGAGGAGTTCTGTGTTGTCCACAGTTGGAAAGTCGCAGTGCTGGTCTGGAGACTAAAGTGAACCCTCAACCGTGGCCGATCGGAATTTTGAAGTTCACATGGGTCTGTATGCATGGAATGTGTCGATATGGGCAACGCAGAACTCCCCTCGCGCTCTCGCGAGAGGTTGTCTGTGTTGCCCACAATCGGAAAGTCGCCATGTTGGCCTGGAAGCTGAATTACACCCTTGACAATGCCCTATGTAGGTTGAGGTTAACGTGGGTTTGTGCGCATGGAATCTGCGATGGGCAACGCAGTACTCCTGTCGCGCGCGTGCGAGAGGAGTTCTGTATGGTCCACAGTCGGAATGTCGCCATGTCGGCCTGGAAACTATAATTAATTCGAATATGTGGCCGATCGGATTTTTTAACATGGGCTTGTGTGCATTGAAGCTGTTCTGGTCAACGCAGGACTCGTCTCGCGCGCGCTGAGAGTTCTGCGTTGTCCACAATGGGAAAGTCGCCATGTTGGCTTGGGAAGCAAAGTGAATCCTTAACGGTTACAGATCGGATTGTGAAGTTATCACTGGTTTGTGTGCATGGAACCTGTTGTGGGCAACGCAGAACTCCTCTCGCGCTCGCGCTGAGAGTTCCGCATTGTCCACAATCGGACGGTCACCACGTTGGTTTCGAAGCTAAAGTGGCCCCTTAACGGTGGCCGACCTGGTCTTGATGTTAAGATGGTTTTGTGCGCGTTGCATCTGTTATGGGCAACTCAGAACTCCTCGCGCGCGTGCTGAGGGTTTTGTATGGTCCACATTCGAAGAAGTGGCCATGTTGGCTTCGAGACTAAAGTGGGCCCTTAGCGGTGGCCGATCGGATTTTGGAGTTAAGATGGCTTTGTGTGCGTGGATTCTGGCAGGGGCAACACAGAGATCATATCAAGCGCGCGAGAGGAATTCTGTACTGTCCATAATCGGAAAGTCGCCATGTGGGTCTGGCAACTAAGGTGAACCCCTAAACGGTGACCGATCGGATTTTGAATTTGCACAGTTTGTGTGCATGGAATTTGTCGTGGGCAACGCAGAACTCCTCTCGCGCGCGCTGAGAATTCTGTGAGGCATCGTGCTATAGAGAGCTCCAGAGAGGGCCCCAGTGGCTGCGCCCGCATGCCACACACACACACACCGATTTCGGCACACCCCTCACACGCTTCGCGGCCCAGCCATAGGGCATAGGGAGCTCCACTGATGGCCCCAGTGGCTACGCCCGCATGCTGCCCCCACGCTCATCTCGGCACGCCCCTCACACGCTTCGTGCTCCACCGAAGGCCCCAGTGGCTTCGCCCGCATGCCGCCCCTACACCCATTTCGGCAAACCCTCGCGCGCTTCGTGGCCCCATCGGGAGGTCCACCGAAGGCCCCAGTGGCTGCGCCCGCATGCCGCCCCCACATCGATTTTGGCACACCCCTCACACGCTTCGTGGCCCCATAGGGAGCTCCACCGAAGGCCCTAGTGGCTGCGCCCGCATGCCGCCCCTACACCCATTTCGGCACACCCTCACGCGCTTCGTGGCCCCGTAGGAAATGGGCCATAGGGAGCCCCACCGCAGGCCCCTGTGGCTGCGCCCGCATGCCGCCCCCTCACAAATTTCGGCACACCCCTTACACTTTTCGTGGCCCCATAGGCCATAGGGCCAGAGGCCATAGGGCCATAGGGAGTTCCACCGAGGACGGGGTTTACGAATGGGGTTCTCACAGCTGCATATGGCTGAGTCCGCGCGCGGACGCAATTGCGCTCTGGGGGCGCATCGCCATCATCACCATCATCGCCATCGTTATCATCGCCACCGTCGCCATCACGATCATCGCGTTTCCCTTTCACAGGCGCGCGCGCCCGCCCGCGGGTGCGCAAAACGCGCGCGCAAACCGCGTGAAATAAATTACACAAAATACAAAAAAAGAAAAGCTGTTTAACAGCCTCACGCGCACAAACACACCTACACACATGCGCACACGCACGCACTTACACATTACTTCACACTCGCATACACGCGAACAGACCTACACGCATACACGAACACACGCACTGACAACATACATCTCACACGCACACACGCGCACACATACATTCACACGCACATACCGAAGCGCCTCACGCACTCACACGCGCACAGACGCACACCCACGCGCACTCACACGCACGCGCGCACGCACTCTTGTAGCTCTTGGTCTGGAGATCCAGCGCGTACTTGTAAGCCTTGGGCCGTGAGCATGTAGCAACGGGGTCCTGCGTGTTATCCCTTTCGTCGGTGATGACAGCCGCGCTCTGAGTCTTGGGCCCCGTGCCCTATGCCCTAAAGCAAACAATTGGGGGATACGTGCTCCTTTGAACCGCTATTGGGCGTCGTATCATCCCCCCCCCCCCTAATAGTTTTACGGGCCAGACCGCTGGGCGGTCTTTGTGACTTTTTGTCGCTTTACATTTTCCCGAGATCGGGACTTCCCGAGCTCCGGAGCTCCGGACTTCCCGAGATCGGGAGCTCTGGAGCTCCGGACTTCCCGAGATCGGGAACACAGGTTCTCCTGGCAAAAACATTTTGGCATTTGCTCATTATACCACATATAGATCTACTTCGGAACATATTACTTGGATTGCTTCTCTGGCGTTTCTCTCCTGTGACCGATCTGGGGCTCAGGTCTTCTGCCCCTTCCATTTGTTTGGGCGCAGCTTTGCTTTTGCATCGTAACCCCCTACGAAGCCTGGGCCATGGCGAGTGGCCCTGCGACTGGGCTCCAAGAGCCTTCTCAGGCCAACGGATCTCGCGACGGGCAGGTGCTTGGCGGCGAGTTGCCCGACATCGAGGACCTTCTCTCGTGCCCCGAGATGCCTGCGGCGCCCGTCAACAGGTGCCTTGGCAACGGCAGGGCGCAGTTCCAGCCTGCCGTCGCCCAGCCCCTGTCGTTCCCCATGGGCCCCCTCGCCCAGCCCGTCAAGTTGGAGCAAACGATCGGCGACGTAAAGGTGGAGGGGGCCCTTCCCGAGAACTCTGAGCACCCTGAGGCCGACGCGCAGGTGCCTGCTGCTGATGAGGAGGAGGAAGAGGAGAAGGAGGAGGAGGACCCCAAGGCGAAGGAACTGCAGATGGTCTGCACGTCTTTCTACACCAAGACCTGCGAGATGATGAAGTACACGCGCGTTAAGCCGCCGTTCCCGCCAGAGGACGAGAGCATGGCACAGCCAGTTCAGGATTCAGCAGATGGAGGAGCTGATGATGAGGATGCCGATGCTGCCTCCGATGCAGGTGGTCATCACGAAGATCAGGAAGGCCAAGACGCGTTGGCGACCGAGGTCGAAGACGGCGACTCTGTGTTGGAGTTCACTAAGAAGAAGGGCGTCAATGTATATTCATTGGCGCAGAAGTGGCCGACGTCGTCAACGTTGGCGCCAGTGGCCAAGATCAGGCAGACCATCAACGGGTACTTGGATGAGACGGTCAACCCGAAGTGGTACGAGGAGTTCGTGCTCGGCACCCTTCACGCCTTGCACAGGCGCCTGACGAAGCATAAAGATAAAATCGAGGGCAAAGTCCAATTCGACATCCAGGTGGCGTACCACCAGTTGGACAACCGCGTCTTCTCTTTGATCTCCCTCCACAAGTCTGTGAAAGCATGGCTTGATGCCCAAGTAAACAAACTCTTACAGGAGACCCTCGAACCGTTTTCCGTCGTGATTGCCTACATGATGCACACTGGCAGGCGCATGTCAGAGGAGCTCAACATCGTCATGCTATATGCCACATTCCAGGGGATGGCGCTAAATTTGGAATCGCTCGCCGACGCCATCGATAAGTTCGACGTCAGCATCTTCAGCCTCCTGAGCAAAATGACGGAGCTCGACCCGCCTGAGGACCAGGGAGCGCAGCCAGCTGAGCCTACTAAGGAGGCCGTGAAGGGTAAGCCGAAGACGGGCAAAAGCGCTTCGGCTGCAGACAAGGCCGCGGCGGCTGCGAAGAAAATTGGAGAGGCGCTCAGGGCTCGAGCAGTCGTCGGCCAGACCCCCGTCTTCCACTTCGCGGCCATGGTGTCTGAGTCCATGCAGACGTGGCTGTCCGACCTGCCCGAAAGCATCGTGAAGAACGAGGTCCAGGCCTACGACCTCATGGTCGAGATCGAGGTGGTCCTCAACAACTGGAGGAAGAAGGAGCTCATCATGAGGACCGAGTCGGAGGACGATACCTTCTCTGAGGTACCGCGTGGCAAAAAAGCCTCTGACCATCCAGAGCTTTCGTTTTCCATGGGAGGGCCGTTGAAAAAACCAACAAAAACAGATAAGACGATTTTCTTTTTGATATCTCCAGGCCGGGTTAAAATCGAGTTTTGGATACCCTCAGGCAGGGTGAAAATCAAGTTTTGGATTCCAGATGCTACGGATGAGTCGGGGCATTTTCGCCTTGGAGGTGCTGCACAGCGTCGCCGTGGTCGCGAGGTGCGTCAACGTCGTCGAGTCTGCCAGGCCCCCGACTGCCCAAGTGCGGCAGGCGAGGAGGGTGATCCTGGACTTGGTGAGGCAGCCGAGCTCCCCAGCTTCGGAGCTCGCGCGCACGATGCAGGCATATCCTGTGGGCAAGGCGCTCATGGAGGCCAGTCGGCTTCACGTGGCTCAGAGCATCGAGGACGACACGGCGACATCTGCATTCGACCAGGCGTCGAAGAAGTTCGAGCTGAATTTCGCGGAGTGCTTCGACGGCATGGTGCAATGGGTTCAAAAGATGCGTGATGAATCTCAGAAGTCAGGCTATGCATCAACAATCTGTTTGCCACCCTGGGCGTCTTCTTCACCAGCGCGCACTCGGCGGTCACGAAGTGGTCGGCGGCATCGGCGCACTCGAACCTCACTTTCTTCGGGGACAACATCAACAACGCAATGACCATACTCAAGGTCGGCAAGTACATGATGGTGGACATCTACGCTGCGAGCCTTGGGAAGCTCGTGCCAGACATTGGGGATGCTATTGTTGCAGTTTATCATGGGGTTGAGATGCCAGGCCCAGCAGCAGGCAGCGCAGAGGGTGCCGAGGGCGGTGGAACCACCGACGCTGCGGAGACGATCAAGCAAGATCCGAACGAGATAATCGAGAACTTCTCCACGGTTGCTGCGCAGGTGGAGTCCACCCTTGAGACGTTCACGCACACCTTGCACTCCATGAGCGAGAGGTGGAAAAAGTGCGTGCTTCAGTTGCACAAGCGCGTAGGCGACGCCATGGACGACCATATCCCGAAAGAGTACGTGCTCAATCCGTGCACCTTCGAATCGGAGCTCCAGCACACCAGTGGCCAGCTGAAGGACATGATAGCCATCATGAAGTACTGCGTCGCGCTCGCGCAGGCGAAGCAGCGGCAGCCGCAGACCCAGGACGAGCTCGAGGCGTTCACGGACACCATCGTGAAGTGCGCGGGCGCGCTGCACTCCGCGCACCAGGCGATGTTCGACTTTCGGGGGGTCGAGAGCTTAGCGACCAGCATGGATATCGCGCGTGAGGTGTCAGATCAGTTCAAGCAGTTCGTCGAGACCAGAGGCAAGACGGGAAGCCCTCCACAGAAAAAACGCCCCGCCTCCCCAGCCCCGAAAGCAAACAACGCCCGGTAAAACACACCGATTTTTGTATTTTTTGATGTTGGTTTTTGGTTCGCTGGGGCGGCGACGGGGTGCCTTTAGCGGAGGGCTTCCCGTCAAGGCATGCGTGTGTACACGGATTGCGCCGACTGCTTCGTCGACGGGAAGCTCGCGGAGATATCCCCAGGCCTCAGCTACACCCTGGGCGACGTCAGCGAGGTCGTCATGAAGGAGGTCCCTTTCGCCGACGCATGCGGTAGGCTTTTCGTCGGCTGCGAGCCCAAGGATCTGCTGCTGGACAGCGTCTATTGGATTGACGGAGAAGCGGAGGATGACACAGCGATTGGGAAGCTTTCTTACAACAAAGCCTTGTCAGATTTAGCATCTTTCATGGAAGCGGGCAGCCTTGAGTCTATCCAGATCCCCAACGCCACTCGCAACGGTCAGGTGGAGCGCATGCCAGTGAAGAGTGCGAAGGTATACTTGGACATGATTGCGCAGGTCAAGGACGTTGCTGGCTGCGCGGCGAAGGTGCATTCAGACCTCAAGAAGCTAAAGCCGACCGACGAGGAGGTCTTCGGCGCCCACGTCCACGCGCACCGCATGATGCACAGACTGTTGCTTCGTTTGGACGAGCTCTTGAACTCGACGGAGCTCCACGACTTCGAGAAGGCGGGCTGGGTGTGCAGCATCAACCCTCAGAGCCTCAGGCAGTGGCTCAAGGGGGTCGCAGTCTTTACAGGCCGCGCGAAGCTCACTATGCTGCAGACGATGGCGAATATATTGCAGACGCACGTCGACTCATGCAAGGCCGTGCTCCCAGATATCAACTCTGCGATCGACGGGAACGGAAACTACGTGGAGAAGATAGCCGTGAAGATCTTCAGCGACGAGCCCACGGTGGTGGCCGCTTACAACAGGGTGCACAAGACGATGAGCTGGTTAATCAGGGCTGCGAGGATGATGGACGTGACCCCGCCCGTCGCGGAACACGACGCCACGGCGACCAGCGTGGCAACTGCCTTGGCGTGTTTGGCCACTGGCTTTCAAAGGGTTAGCCGTGCATTATCTGGATCGCCAGTCGACTTGTGCCTACGCTGACGATGAAGATGACGATGGCGATGACGAGGATGATGTAAGACGATTACGCTGACGATGACGCTGACGATGGCGATAGTGGTGACGGACGATGACGATGACGACGACGATGACGACGACGGTGACGACGACGATGACGACGACGACGATGATGGCGATGACGGCGTTGGCATAAGCTCGACTGGCGTGTCTAGTGAGATGCGCCGTGCCCCTTGCATCAGCCATGCAGGCGAAGGCGCGGCAGGTGGTGAGCATGATCAAGGGCGTGGAGATGCTCGGGGAGTTGCGCTTGGCGCCAGACGGCCCACAGCGCGCCCGCGACTACCTCGCGAAGTACCGCAACGAGAAGCACCAGGACGTGCCCGTCGGCTTCTGGAGGGAGTTCGAGTCGGTCGCGGCGGAGAGCCTCGAGGCAGGCGCCGCCGCCGCCTGCGCTAAGGGCGGCGCGGCGGGCAGCGGCAGCAAGAGCGACGAGAAGAGCGCCTGCCAGACGCCCAAGGCCAAGGTGGCGCAGCAGGAGGCCAAGTCCACGGCCAGCAAGCAGAAGCCCCAGCTCGACGTGAAGATGGAGCCGCAGTCTGAGGTTGGCACGAGCAGCGGCGGCACGAAGCGTGGCGCTTCGGGCCCACCGCAGGCCAACAGCCTGAAGCGCGCGAAGCGCGATTAGGGTGCTCTCGCCTTTTCACGGCCTCGCTGGGGCCACCTTGGGGTGAATGGGGGGAGAGATAAGCCATAGAAATAGTGCTTGGGCTCGAACCGTACACACAGACACGAAGAATACACCAGCAACGTAACGCATGGGGCACACACACACGCGTGAGCTCACAATAAACCTAAACTATCATTGAAACTTGAATTAAGCGCACGGCCCCTAACAACACACAATAACATCAACAATGCGACCGAACACGCACAGCGTACACAATCTAAACGCAGGACAACCCACACACACATATGCTGTCAGGGCGAGGTGGTCTCTCGGGCCTTCCAGGCGTTTTCCAGCCTGCGGGGGAGGGCTTCCAGGCGCTTTTGAGGCCTGCCTCTTAGGCCACTGCCCGTGCTGGGCCAGAGGGCCTGCCGCGGGCGAGTGGCGACAGGGCCGCTGCAGGCTGCAGCGGGGAGGCGGCGACAAAACGAGGGGGCCCGCAGGCGGCGCGAGGAGAAATCTGCGCCGCTCCTCTCGCCGATCACCAGCACCACCCTCCCTCCACCTCCCACTCCCGCCCCTACTCCCCCATCCCACTCCCGTCCCGACTCCCCTCCCATTCCCGCCGCTACTCCCAAGTCCTGTCCCTACTCTTCCCCGCCCCCTCCACCTCCTACTCCTACCTCTGCCGTGTCTCTGGCTTATCCTCCTGCTGCTGCTGCTCCTCGGTGCTGCTCCTGTTACGTGGGGGCACGGGGCTGCACCTTTGTATTTCACATAGGGTCGGAGTGGTTAGGACCAGCGGTATCTGTCAACATCCCGTGTGAAAAGCGATCCGTGAACATAAGACGTCCAGTTTCGAGACGAGCGGGGGGTGACGACGACGACGAGCGACGAGCGACGAACGATGAAGGGCGAGCTTCGAACGATGATCGGCGAAGAACGACGAATGGCGAAAGACGAAGGGCGGACGACGAATACTTGAGTTTCCCAGGGGGGTCAGAGCTGCAGGGGGTGGCTTAAGTAGGTTAGGCAAGGCTGAGCAGGGGGATGTGCCTCAAATTGCGTTCTAAAGTTGACATTGACCCGAAAATGTGAAGACCGATGTGCACGTAAAGACGATATGTCTTTAACCAGTGTCGCCGCCAGACGTGTTGACGAATGGAGTGTCGCCGCCAGACGTGTTGACGAAACGCATGTCCGAGGGGTGTGTCGCCGCCCCGCGTCTTGACGTGGGGCCCCCCCAAGAGCTCTGACCCCCCAGGAGGACTCAAATGATGCCGCTCTTTTCCAATCTCCCCGGGAGCGACGTCGGTGGGGTCTACGAGAACACCGGCGACTCTCTCATGATGGTGGGCCGGAACGGCACGCTGGATTTTGTCTTAGTCTTGTATTTGTTGGGTTTCTGGGGCCTCAACGCCTTGGGCATGATGGTGATGAAACGCCTCGGTGCGGTCTTCAGATCGGTTTCCAGGAACCTCCAGGCGCTTTTCATATGGCTTATCGACATGGCCCTCTTCTATGGACTGGGCGAGGGCGGTCTCGGATACGGCCGCGTCGGCGAGCCTTGGCAGGGCCTGGGCTCTTGGGTGCAGGTCCTCGGTTTCCTGGTCATGTCGGCAGGTGTCTTAATTCAATCGCTTCGCTCATTCCGCCGGCCCATGTTGCGTCGCTGCTGCTATCTGTCGGTGTGCTCGAGGCGTGCGGGAAGGAGGAACCTGAGGAGACGGAGGAGGAGAAGGAAGAGGAGAAGTAGGAGGAGGAGGAGGAGGAGGAGGAGGAGGAGGAGGAGGGGAAGGAGCAGGTCCGCACATACCAAGTGAGGCGTGGAGCACTCCCTGGCGCGACTGGGAGGGATGAGGGAGGAGTGCTGTCCCTCCAGGCTGCCTCACCCCATGCGCACCTCGGCGCGAAGCTGCCGAGCCAACGCGGCGGAGGGGACGGGAGAGCTCCGATGCCTGGCCACCCGTGGCCGAGAGAGAGAGAGAGAGAGAGAGAGACGACGCGCTTGATCTTGTTGAGCGGCTCGCTGCCCCGCACGAGGATGAGGAGGAGGCGGAGGAGGAGGAGGAGGAGGAGACGGAGGAGGAGGAGGAGGAGGAGGAGGAGGAGGAGGAGGAGGAGGAGGATGGAGACGGGAGGAGGAGGAGGAGGAGGAGGAGGAGGAGGGAGGAGGAGGAGGAGGAGGAGGATCGAAAAAGAACAAACAACCACATAAACGTAAACTTGTGACGCTCCGCGCGGATTTCTGGGATCCGCGCCTGGAGCCCCCCGACGGCGCCTCCGGCGCGCCCCTGGCGCGCTCCGCGCGACAGGGAGGGTGGCCCAGGCGCGGATCCAAGAAATCTGCGCGGAACGCCAAACGTTTGTGCTCATGTGTTTTGTTTCGTCTTCTGGAGGGGGAGGAGATTCTGGCGCGCCTCTGGCCCGGTGGGCTGGCGAATTTACGCCTACGGGAACGCGGTGCAGCAGGTGGCCGCGGCGCAGGCGGAGGACGCGGAGCGGCCCTCCCCCGTGCCGGGCCGCATGCGAAGGTTAGCGTCCCAGATCGACGGGCTGCCCTCCCCGCTGCAGGTGGTGCGCGCGGAGCTCGATGGCAGCGAGGACGAGGACGGGAGCCCCCCCCCCCACCCTCAGGAGTAAAGGAGGAGGAGGAGGAGGAAGGAGGAGGAGAGAGAGGAGGAGGAGGAGGGGAGGAGGGGTGGAGGAGGAGGAGGAGGGAGGAGGAAGGTAGGAGGAGGAGAGGAGGAGGAGTAGAGGAGAAGGAGAGGAGGAGGAGGGAGGAGGAGGAGGAGGAGAAGGAGAAGGAGGGGGAGGAGGAGGAGGAGGAGGAGGAGTGAGTGAGTGAGTGCGCTGGGAGGGCGTCCCAATCCGATTGCCACGGCTCTCGAAAAACTATGCCTCTCAGCTCGGGATTTCATGCCCTCTGCGAGTGATATGGAATAGCCCCAGCTCAGCCGCATTTCGTTCTCGACTGGGCCAGGCCTACGGCGACCACCTGCTACAGCCCAACTGTCGCGAGGCGGTGCCGCTGCAGCGAGGGGGGTCTCTGCCCTCTCGCTTGCACAGGGAGCAGCCTACCTACCTACCTACCTACCTAGGTGCGGCTCCTCCCTGACGCTGCGCTCTAATCCGCTCTGCTGCCGCTAGCATCTGCCTGGCATAAACGCTACCTGCATTCGCCATTCTCCTAAGGTTTGCTCTCACCTCACTGGAAATTACATCCTCTCCGCCTGCAGGCCCTTCAACTTGCGCTCTGTTACCCTCGTCAGGCCGCCAGGGGATCCGAGAGATCCGCGCGGAGCTCCGCGCGGATCTCCAGGCTGGTCTCCATGGATCGGGCCGGACGAAAGGGGGGGATTGGGAGAGAGGGGTACGAAATCTGCTGCATGCAGCCGGTTTCGGCCCCACCGAGGGGCCCATTCCTCGATGCATGGTCGCCTCGGGCGCATGGGAGGCGCCGGGAAAATCAGGCACGCGAGCTGATTCTCACCCCCCCTTTGCTATCCCCCCCTTTCGCCCGACCCGAAAAAAGCGACATGCGCTCTCGAAGAAGAGCAACTTTTGGCGCTCCGCGTTCCGCGCCGAGGCTCGCCTCCTCCTCCTCCTCCTCCTCGTCCTCCTCCTCTTCTTCGTCGTCGTCCTCCTCCTCCTCCTCCTCCTCCTCCTTCCCCCCTCCAACTTATGGTGGTGGTGGTGTCCCCCGAGCAGTCCAGGCTGGCCTTCACGGGCCCCCCCCGAGCAGGCCCGGGGCGCCGCGGCGCTCCTCCGGGGAGCGCTCCGCCGCCGAGGACGTCGTCCACTGTGGTCGCTCTCTCTGCGCATGGTCTTGCCGATCGGCGCGGGCCTCCCCCCCCCTCCTCCCTCCTCCCTCCTCCCCTCCACCTCCTCCTCCTCCTCCTCCTCCTCCTCCCTCCGCCTCCTCCCCTCCTCCTTCCTCCTCCCCTCCCCTCCACTCCTCCTCCTACCTCCTCCCTCCCCTCCTCCTCCTCCCCTCCTCCTCCTCCTCCACCCCTCCTCCTCCTCCTCCTCCTCCTCCTCCTCCTTCCTCCTCCTCCTCCTCCTCCTCCTCCATTTCTCCTCCTCCTCCTCCTCCTCCCTCCTCCCTCCTCACCATCCCCTCCTCCTTCTCCTCCTCCTCCTCATCCTCCTCCTCCTCCTCCTCCTCTCCTCCCTTTCTCCTCCTCCTCCTCCTCCTCCTCCTCCCCTCCCTCCCCTCCTCCTCCTCCTCCCTCTACTCCTCCTCCTCCTCCTCCTCCTCCCCTCCTCCTCCTCCTCCTCCTCCTCCTCCTCCTCCTCCTCCTCCTCCTCCTTCTCCTCCTCCTCCTCCTCCTTCTCCTCCTCCTCCTCCGCCTCCTCCTGTCCTCCTCCTCCTCCTCCTCCTCCTCCTTCCTCCTCCTCCCCTCCTCCTCACTCCTCCCTCCTCCTCCTCCTCCTCCTCTCCTCTCTCCAATTCCACCTCTCCATCCTCCTCGTTCTCCTCTTTTTTTGAGCTCCACGCGCCCCAAAGACCTCACAGAGAGGAACAGACGCCCACCTGCTAAGGGGACGAGCAGGGGGCCGAAGAAGAGCAGCGCCAACGGTCCAGAGCCATGCCCCCGTGGCGAGCTCAATGCGCGAACAGGGAACGCAAGGAGACCGTGCTCCGCGCTCCCTGTTCGGGGTAGGGGGCGCGGGAGCCGTGCTCCGACGCCCAACCTACCCACCACCTACTCCATAGGAGGCCGCGGCGACGAGAGCAATTTTCTCTCCCCTTGGCCCCTACGGGCAAACAAGAGTGACGATCGGGCTGCTACCCGCCTGTTTTCCTCCTGGCCCCTACGGGCAAACAGGAGTGGCACCCTCCTCCTCCTCCTCCTCCTCCTCCTCCTTCTCCATTTCTCCTCCTCTTCCATTTCTCCTCCTCCTCCTCCTCCTCCTCCTCCTCCTCCTCCTCCTCCGTAGCCATTTTGGCTCAAGCCTGCCTCGGGCGCCAGGCGGGCGAGGTGCGCGCTTTGTCTCTCTCCGTAGAGTCCCGTCGCCTCGGCGGGCAAAGAGAGCGGCTCTGTCTCAGTCCCCTCGTCCTGCGGCCCTGGCAATGGCTACGGTCCCCTCGCCCCCGAGCGCGGGTCAGGTGGCGGCCCTCGCCCCACTGGCTCGGGCGGCGGCGGCAGGCGCGGCGGAGGGCGGAGGCGGGCGGCAGAGTGTGGCTGCGGCCGTGGCTGCTGCCCTCCGCACTGGCGCCTCCCTGCTGGGCCTGCAGCAGGACGTCCAGAAGACACCGCTCGACGAGGCGGGCGAGCAGGAGGTGGCGGCGCGGCTCCTGGCGATCGAGCGGGCGCTCTCGCTCCAGGTCGCGGGACAGCCCGTCCCAGGCGCGGTCCGCCTGGACCGCAACCTCGCCGCCCACGCCGAGATTGGCAAGGGCGCCGGCGTCCTTGGCCTGCCGGTCGCGGAGAAGCGGCGCCGGCAGCGCGGCCGCAGGCGCGGGCGCAAGCAATCCGGGGCTGTCCGACACGGCGGGCGCCTCGGATGAGAAAGACGAGCACCGGTCCAACCTTGTCTGCACGGACTCGGACCAGGGCTGCGACAATCCACACTACAAGTACGGGGATGGGGACAAGGAGAAGATCGAGAAGGTGGTGCACGATACCTTCAACCTGATGGACCAGCGGACCTCCACCCTCTTGAGTTTCGAGGGCAAGCAGAAGGAGCTGGAGACCATCGACAACCCCATTCCCAAGAAGGCACTCGAGACTGACCAGGCGGTGCAGGACACAGACGTTGTGCGAGAGTCGCAGCACAAGGGCGTGCTCAAGGAGTACAACTCGTCGGCTGCTTCCGCTCCCCTCGAGTGCATGAAGAACGAGCCCAGCCTGGGCAAGGGTGGCAAGAGTAAGCCCCGCGGCTCCTACGCCATGGTCAACATTGGCATGGGTAAGTCGGGCTTCGAGCCGCTTGGGCGCGTCGGCAAGGGCAAGGACAAGGGCATCGGCCTCTGATTCGCCTGCCGTTCGCACACCTGCAGATTTATAGGCTGCAGGGTATCGGCGCTAGCCACGTCAGAAGGCTATCGCTTCTGCCCTCGAGCATCCTCCTCCTCCTCCCTTTCTCCTCCTCCTCCTCCACCCTTTCTCCTCCTCCTCCTTTTCCTCCCTTTCTCCTCCTCCTCCCTTTCTCCTCCTCCTCCTCCTCCCCCTCCCTCACGTCCTCCCCCTCCTCCTCCTCCTCCTCCTCCTCCTCCTCCTCCTCCACCTCCTCCTCCTCCCTTTCCCCTCCTCCTCCTCTTTTTTTTGAGCTCCACGCGCCCCAAAGACCTCACAGAGAGGAACAGACGCCCACCTGCTAAGGGGACGAGCAGGGGCCGAAGAAGAGCAGCGCCAACGGTCCAGAGCCATGCCCCCGTGGCGAGCTCAATGCGCGAACAGGGAACGCCAGGAGACCGTGCTCCGCGCTCCCTGTTCGGGGTAGGGGGCGCGGGAGCCGTGCTCCGACGCCCAACCTACCCACCGCCTACTCCATAGGTGGCCGCGGCGACGAGAACAAGTTTCTCTCCCCTTGGCCCCTACGGGCAAACAAGAGTGACGATCGGGCTGCTACCCGCCTGTTTTTCCTCCTGGCCCCTACGGGCAAACAGGAGTGGCGCCCGCCTCCTCCTCCTCCTCCTCCTCCTCCTCCTCACTCCCTCCTCCATTCTCTCCTCCTCCTCCTCACTCCTCCTCCTTTCTCCTCCTCCTCCTCCATTTCTCCTCCTCCTTTTTCCTCGCTTCTCCTCCTCCTCCTCCATTTCTCCTCCGCCTCCTCCTCTCCTCCTCCTCCTCCTCCTCCTCCTCCTCCTCCCCCTCCCTCACGTCCTCCCCTCCTCCTCCTCCTCCTCCTCCTCCTCCTCCTCCTCCTCCTCCTCCTCATTTCTCCTCCTCCTCCTGCTCCTCCTCCTCCTCCCTCTCACTCCTCCTCCTCCTCCTCCTTATCCTCCTCCTCCTCCTCCTTTTTTTGAGCTCCACCTCCTCCTCCTCCTTTTTTTGAGCTCCACGCGCCCCAAAAACCTCACAGAGAGGAACAGACGCCCACCTGCCGAGCAGGGGGCCGAAGAAGAGCAGCGCCAACGGTCCAGAGCCATGAGCTCAATGCGCGAACAGGGAACGCCAGGAGACCGTGCTCCGCGCTCCCTGTTCGGGGTAGGGGGCGCGGGAGCCGTGCTCCGACGCCCAACCTACCCACCACCTACTCCATAGGTGGCCGCGGCGACGAGAACAAGTTTCTCTCCCCTTGGCCCCTACGGGCAAACAAGAGTGACGATCGGGCTGCTACCCGCCTGTTTCCCTCCTGGCCCCTACGTGCGGGCAAACAGGAGTGGCACCCGCCTCCTCCTCCTCCTCTTCCTCCTCCTCCCTTTCTCCTCCCTCTCCTCTTCCTCCTCCCCCTCCGCCTCCTCCTCCGCCTCCTCCTCTTCCTCCTCCTCCTCGTCCTGTAATTATCCTCACCCCCTCTGCGCGTTGCCGCCCCCCATGGAGTAGATCTTGGCTGTTTTAGGCGCCTGTTTCGAGCAGGTGGAGTCCCCCCCACAGGGCGCACTTATGCAAGCAGTCGCACCGAGCAGAGGTCCCGAGCCAGACTCCCCTTTCCCCTTCCCCCCACCCCCGTTCGCTCAGTGTCGAAACGTCGAATCGGAAAACGTTCACCATCTCGGCCTGAAGGTCGTTTGCCCAAGTGCGGCCAATGCCGTTTCTGGGCTGCACTTGCCGTTGGGAGTCGGCCTCGTTTTTTTGTCCGTGCCCAGTGCTCGGGCGTGGCAGCACGAGGAACAGCCACGGCACACACAAGATCTTCGGAGCTCCGTGCGGATTGCCTGGATCCGCGCTGGGGCCTCCCGGTGGCGCTGCGCCGCCCCTGCAGCGCTCGGCGCGCCAGGGAGGGGGGTGCGGCGCCGATCCAAGAAGTCGGGCCGATCCTCGTAATTTTGTCTGTCTAGATAAAAGATAATTTTCTGTCTCTGTAATTAAGTCGATCCTCGTAATAAGATAATGTTTCTGTCTCTGGGCAGGTGATCTTTTTTATTCATTGTTTTGCCGATCGGCGCGGGCCCCCCCCCTCCCCCCCCCCATGGAGTAGATCTTGACTGTTTGTGGCGCCTGTTTCGAGCAGGCGGGGTCTCCCCTATCGTGAACGCACCGTTCCAAACAGCCGCACTAAGCAGTGGTCTGGAGCCAGACCCCCCCCCTTCCCCCCTCTCCCGCCCAATGTCGAAACGCATAATACACAAACACAATGACCAGGGTGTCGCCAGGCTCAAACGTTCAGGACTTGCCGAACATTTGGGCCCCAGGCTGCGCAGCCCAGGCGCTGAGAGAAGGACCGGCCTCGAGGCCGGAAGGGGCGCCAGGCGAGTCGAGACCACGGCAGTTGGCCTTCGGGGGTGGGGCCCTCGTCGCCATGGCTGGACGCAGCTCGGGGGATTCCCAGACCTTCCTCGAGGGCTACAAAATATCACCAGAACCTCGGCATCTCAAATCCAGTCGAGGTCTTAAGCAGCCCAGATCGGTCTGTAGGTTTGGAGTGCTGTTTTCTGAACACTCTGGAAGGTCAGGGTTGGCGCGGCTGGACCCCGGGAGGGTCTGGGGACCAGTCTTGAGTTGCCGGCAGGTCGACCCAGAGATCCGACGCTCCAAGAAATACAGTCGGGGCCCTGAAGAAGGAACCCTTTTCGTTGGGGAGGGGCTCCGCGTTCCTTGAGTGTTTCACAGCTTTCCTCAGGCTTTCCTCATGTTTTTGACAGGACATGGAAGTTTAACTTATGGAAAAAAGCGGCCTCGTTCCTTATTTAGGGTTCCTTAGGCCAACGCCTCGACTGTATGGGGGCGGCGGGCTGTGGGCCGCTTTCGGCCTCTGGGGGCCCTCGCCGGGCCACTGGAGCGCCAAGCAGCGACTCGGGGCGAACAACTGGTCCTAGTGGTCCGGACCTCTGGGGCCCACGCATCGGAAAAGTTCGAGCGGCCAGATGTCTGGGAACTTGCCCTGCTCCGAGGTCGTGGGCCGGATGGCCTATGTGGAGGGTTCCTCCGAAGGGTTTAGGCGACCCGTCTCTTCCTCCTCCTCCTCCTCCTCCGCCTGCTCCTTCTCCTCCTCCCCTCCCCCTCCTCATCCCTCCTCCTCCTCCTCCTCCTCCTCCTCCTCCTCCTCCTCCTCCTCCTCCTAATCCTCAACCTCGGGTCGCCTGCGGCCCCGGGGGAAATCGTGCAGGCCTATGCGTGCTCGAGGCCCGCCCCGCGGCCAGGGTGAAGACCCCTGTGCGCGCTCCCGCAGTCGGCGTGCCCCGTGGTGACGGCACGGTGGCCGCGTGCCCCGGCGGGGAGAGGCGTGCTCGGAGGCGACGACGGGGGCGAAGGGCCCAGGGGGCGGGCTGGAGGGTCTCTCCGAAGGGCTTAGGCAACCCTTCCTCCTCCCTCCCCTCATCCCCTCCCTCCTCCTCCTCCGCCTCCTCCTCCTCCCTCCTTCCTCCTCCTCCTCCTCCTCCTCCTCCTCCTCCTCCTCCTCCCCCTCCGCTTCCCTCCTCCTCCTCCTCCTCCTCCTCCTCCTCCTTCCTCCTCCTCCTCCTCCTCCTCCCCTCCTCCTCCTCCTCCTCCTCCACTCCTCCTCCTCCTCCTCCTCCTCCTCCCTCCTCCCCTCCCTTCCTCCTCCTCCTCCTCCTCCTCCTCCTCCTCCGCTCCTCCTCCTCCTCCTCCCCTCCTCCTCCTCCTCTCCTCTCCTCCTCCTCCTCCTCCTCCTCCTCCTCCTCCTACGGGTCGCCTACGGCCCCGGGGGAAACTTTCCAGGGCGGGCAGTGCGCGCAGGCGCCCGTGAGCCCTGCCGAAGGCACGACTTGCCCTCCCATGGGCTATTCTCCCCCATCGCCGCCCCCGACGTGCGGGGGTGGGGGCAGAGGAGGAGGAGGCGGAGGAGGAGGAGGAGGAGGAGGAGGAGGAGGAGGTAGAGGAGGATGGACCCCAGGCTTATGATGTTCCAACCTATTTTAGCCATGATCACCAGAACTAGTTTCGAGCACCAAGAAAATACTGAAACTTGAAAGTTTTCAACTGTCGGGCCCTGGGGGGCGATACTCGCTCGACACTGTCTCGAGACTTGTCTGGGTGCTCGGAATCATTTCTTGGATGTGGTCCTTAACAGGGCTGGACCTGAACGGTGTTTTGGCGATTTCGTGGGCCGTTTTCGGTTCGATTCGTTTTGTGGTAAAGGCGGATTGAAGACAAAACGAGGGAAAACGAGAACAAAACGAAAACGAAAATCACCGTCTAGGTTCAGCCCTGGTCCTTGAGTGCGGCGGTCGCAACACCACCCAGGGCCCCAGATTTCCTCTCGGCGCCTTCTGCTTCGGTGGTGCCCCCTCGTCCGTCCGTCTCTTCGCGGGGCGGGCCGAGATCCCAAGTACATTGCCACCGCCGTTCTACTTTTAAGTCGGGCCTGTCCCTCTACAGGGGGACTGTTCAAGAGTAGTCAACAGAATAGCCTAGGGGACTATTGCTTTGACTCCTTTTGGGCATTTTGGGTGTATTTTTGGGGTAGTTTGAATTTGTCGCCCAGGATCCCCAGCTTTGGGGGGGTATTTTTGTGTATTTTGAATTTTGTTTTTTTTGGATTTGTATTTTTTGGGGGGCAGGCCCGACCTAACACTGCTTCGTGCTCCTGCTCTGCTGCTTCCGACTGGTGGACGCGCGGGGCAGGCGAGCTGGGCCGGCCCTCTTCTCTGCTTAATCTTAGGGTGCTCCACAAGTTGGAGGGGGAGGGGATCCTCCTCCTCCTCCTCCTCCTCCTCCTCCTCCTCCTCCTCCTCAACCTCCTCCTCCTCCTCCTCCTCATCCTTCCACCTTTAACTTGTGGTGGTGGTGGTGGAAAACAGGCCCATCACCCTTTCCTTCCTCCAGGTCTTTGCTGCTGCTACTGGCATCCGCACAGACTGAACCACCAGACAGAATTTCGAGCACCACGAACATGTCGGAACTCGAGGGTTTTCCCGTAAGGGGCCATGGGAGGCGATACTCGTTCGACTCTGCTTCGATACTGTTCTGGGTGCTCGACATGATGTCTGGGATCTGGTCCTCAAGCACGATGGGGCAGCGTAAGCTTTGACGCCTTCTGCTGGAGGCCTTGAGGTTGACACCAACACCAACATCGGCGGTGTGCATCCACGGATGGAAGATGGCCCTAATCTTGGTGATGGCGGCAGTATTCGGGCTTCTTGCACGGCCAAAATATTGCCACCAACACCAGCATAGAGGATCATCATCCTCCGGGGGAGCCCCCCCTCTCTGTGCTGATGTTGATGCCCATTGCTAAGCCTCCAACTCCTGGGCCCTCCAGTCCTCCTCCTCCTCCTCCTCCTCCTCCTCCTCCTCCCTCCTCCTCCTCCTCCTCCCTCCTCCTACTCTTCTTCCTCCTCCTCCTCCTCCTGCTTCTCCTCCTCCTCCTCCTCCTCCTCCTCCTCCTCCTCCTCCTCCTCCATCCTTCCCCTCGCCGAGGACGAGGAGCTGGGCGTCGACGAGCTGCCCGGGCGCACGCGCGCGGTGAGCGAGCTGCCCAGGCGCGCGCGCGCGGGGAGCACGCTGCCCAGGCGCGCGCGCGCGGGGAGCACGGCCGAGTACGTCGCCATCTGACGCCCTCTTCGTTCTAGGCCGCCTGGATGGGGTCAGAGTACACCTTAGGCGATGCTTAAGAAAACCTAAGTTTTCGTCCAGAGTCTCGATTATTCTTCACTTTTCAATGTAAATCCCAAGATTTTAATAGAAGTTCGGGGTTTTTATTCAAATTCGCAGACTCTGAATTTCTTAACCCATGATTTCTTGAGCATTTCGCAGGGTGTAGATGGGGTCGGAGAATCGCGCCGCATCGCCGATGAATCGGCGGTGCGGCCCGATGTGGAGCACGATTTGCTCCACGCCGATGACGTGATGACTCGCCGACGTCGCCAGTGCATCGGCGATAGATTGCCGATGCATCGCCTTTGCGGCGCGATCCTCCGACCCCATCTGCTCGGACCCCATCTCGGAGGCCTCTGCTCGTGTTCTTCGTGATTGTACTTGGTTCGCCCAAACGCCCTGGGCGTTTCTTTTCGCGTTTTGTACTTTGGGCTTTTGACAGGCTGAGAACGGTAAACAAATACGCTATTGTGTTTAGCAGTTTTAGGGCAGTTGGTTTGGCGTTGTTTGGGCGTTGCTTGTGCGCTTTCCGGCTGAAAGCGCTAAAGCAAGTTCTGAAAACACTAACACAACACATTTTGTTTTGAGCGCTCTTAGTTTTTGTGCTGAGACCTGAAAGCGCGTTTTCAACATGCCCAAGACGCCGCGTTGAAAACGCTAACAAAAACGCCCTGGGCAGATGTATGGCGAACCAAGGTTTTTTTATGCGGAAGCCGCGGGTTGGCAAGCTCGAGGCGTCATGTTGTTCAGTCTCCCTCCCTCCCTCCTCGCCCTGCTCCTCACCTGGTTCCCTCCCTCCCTCCTCCTGGCTCGTTCCCTCCTCACCCTGTCCCCCCACCCTTGTACTTACGGTCGGACCAGGGGACAAGGTCGAGGTCGGTTCGGGGGGAGGGGGGTACGTCATGTTTTTCGTGTACGTTGGATGTTCTTGTACTTTTTGGGGGAGGGTACCCTCGAATGTTCTTCGGCTTGGCCGGCGGCGGGTCTCATGTTCTTGAAGGATGTTTTTCCACACTAGGTCCGGTCGCACCCTGTCGCTACAACCCCTCCCCCCTAACACGGATTACCCACCTAACGTGATTTGGACTTCGGTGACACCGAGCCCGGCCCGCCAGAATGGGCGTGACACCTGCATTTTGGCGTTTTTCTTGTCTCGGAATGATGCTCTGGCTTGCGCGTGGGCTACAATTCTGATTAAAAATGTTGCTGCCGCCTTGGCGCCAGCGACATCTTTCATCTAGCGTGTTGTTCTCGCTTGTGCGTGGGCTCGTGGGCTACATCTGATTGGAAATGCTGCTGTCTCTTAGGCGCCAGCGACGTCCTTCATTGAGAATGTCGTTATCGCCTTGGCGCTATCCAAATATCTGATATCGTACGCGTCACGGCGGCGCTGTTCCTTGCGCGCGTGCTGTTGCGAGTAGTGTTGTTGCTTCCCGTCGTGCTGGTCACACAGGTATTGATTGTTGCGTTTGCGTTGCTTCGCGTGGCGTTGTTGCTCCACGGCGTGCTCGTCACAGTAGTGCTGCTTGTTAACACGCTGGTGCTGCTGCGTTTGGTGTTGTTGCCTGATGTCGTTGTGGTTGCAATGTTGCTGATAGTGGCGCTTGTGCTGCGTCGCGTGGTGCTGCTGTTCCATTTCCCATTGTGGTCGTTAACCGCAAGCCCCAGATCATGAAGCATCCCCCCGTCCTTTTGTATCTCTTTTCCACGGGGTCGAATGTTGTTCAATTGAAACAGCAGGCGGGGAGGCCGAACTTCTCATCCCCTTGACAGTTCCTTTCGTAGCTCTGATCTTCATCTCCTCCTCCTGCTCTTCCTGCTCCCGCTCCTCTTCTTCTCATGTCTCCTTTCTCCTCCTTTCCTCCTCCTTCTTTTCTTTCCTCTGTCGTCCGTTCATCTTTCCTTGCTCCCTCCGCCCCCAGGCTGAATTGTCACCCAACGACCATGAGTATTCCAATCCGACGATTTGAAATCATGACGAACGTTTAAGTGTTACATCTCGAATGTGATAGATCCGAACTTTGAATATGCTTTCCCTCCTCATCACCATAGCATTTCACAGGAGGTGTGCTTTTCTTACATCTCCAAAGAGGCCGTCTAGGAGGATCATGGTGGCTCCTGAAGACCGATCTTGAACACCGACCCAGACATCCGAACATCGATATCGCCGGGGAACAGTTTATTCTCCCGCACGGACCCCGATTGTCTTCTCCCAAGGGGGGTATTCTCACCAATACATGGTTATACCGGTGCTGCTCGTGTCGTTGGTGCTGGTGCGCGTTGTGGTTGTGGTGGTGCTGTTTGCTGCTGTACTGTCAAAAGAGTTATTGCTGGTTTCGCTCATGCAGTTTTTGATATTATTTCTGCTGTGTTTGGCGATGGTGTTGCTGCTGCGGCGCATGGTGTTGGTGGTGCTGCTCGTCCCAGAGGTGCTACTTAGTGCGCTAGAGCCAGTGCGCGTGTGCACTGGGACACCTCCCCCCCGATTACGACGGATGCTGTCGCTTTACCAGTGGCCACATCCACTTTATAGATTTTTGTTTGGTCTTGATCCAGGCCACAGCGCTGGCCACATCAATGATTGCGAACGTTGCTCTCGCCTCAGTGCCAGCCACATCTGTGATTGAAAATGTTCTTCTCGCCTCAGCGCTGGCCACACACACGATTGCGAAAGTTGCTCTCGTCTTAGCACTGTCCACATCCATGATTGAGAATGTTGCTCTCGCCTCAGCGCCAGCCACATCCATGATTGAGAATGTTGCTCTCGCCTGAGCGCCTGCCACATCCATGATTGCGACAGCTGCTCTCGCTTCAGGGACGGCCAGTCTCCTCATTGGAAACGGAGAGGGATAGTGATACGGTTGGCGCTTTTGCATTGCACGTTGCTGTGTCGCCCCATCATTTGCTACAGCGCGCGCGTGACACACTGGTGTCGCCGAGCCGTTGGTCACGTTAGCTTTCATGTGTCAGATTAGCTTTGGCGCAGTGTCGACAGTGCCTGGGTCAGGTTAGTTTTGGGGTTTGCCACGTTAGGGGCAGGGGCTTGTACCAGACGTGTGGCTATGGCGACGCACCGCGGTCCGGACGTCTCATTGAGGATCTTCCCACAATTGTTAATCACAAAGTTTGATATGCCCAGCAGCTACCTACAGGACCGGAAGCCGGCTCATTTTCGAAACCGGTAATTATTCGGAGATTGTTTTGGAAAGACAATGGACAATCTCCCCGACACCATTAAGAATCATATCGGAAATCATGGGAGAAACCTTAAGTAGGGACTCCTATGGGAAATCATTCGGACGACTCCTACGGGAGATCATTTGGACACCCTGAGGACGTCTATGGAGGACCCGCGCTGGAAATGTTTAGGAATCAGATGGGAAAACATGTGGAAACCCTGAGGACTATTGTAGAGAATCCTTCGTGGAAGCTCTCAGACATCCTACGTGAAATCAGCTGGAAGGAGTCCTATAGGACATTATTCGCAAGCCCTTGGGAGTCTTATGGAACATCCGCTGGACACCCTGAGGAATTCTATAGGAAGTCGGCTGGAAACCCTGAGGAATCCGCTGGGATCCGATGGGGGATGCTTTGGAAACCCTTAGGAATCCCATGGGATCTGAGTGGAAATCTGAAGGGAACCTGTGGAATCTTGGAGAAGATGAGGTTCTTCAGGTTATAGTGGGCAGAGTGATGCGAGGGCAGTTCGGTCGTTCGGCATGGTGGCGTCCGTGATACCTCGCGTGCTGAGAATTCACGGAAGTAACGATGATGGGACGCTTTGCTTCGAAGGAGGAGGAGGAGGGCGATGAGGAGGAGGAGGAGGGAGATGAGGATGTTGCGCCATGCTCGCGCGCGGCGACACCCTCCGCTCGTTCGTCGTCGTCGTCGTCGTTGTTGTCGTCGTCGCCGGTCAGCAGGATGGCGACCCTTGAGGATGTTGGTGAAGTTGTTGTTCATGCTATTGCTTGTGCTATGTTTTAGCAGTTAGCGTATTGCTTCTGATAGTGTGCAGGGTTTAGGTTGGTGTGTTTGCTGGTGTTTGGAAGTTAGGATCATTGCACGAATATGGGTCAGGGTATTGTTTAGGTGAGTTTTTAGGGCTAGGTGTGTGATATTGTTCGGGATATTGAACGGGGTGACACGCACATGTTTATGTGATGACGCATCCACCCATGATGGGCATGATGGGGGATAAGAGAAGGCCCAAATGAGGTTGGCTGACAGTCCACAAGATCGAGTGGCCATCAGTGAGGGGGAAATTCCATCTCCGAGCGATGCTATCGCTCTATGTAATGCAAGACAGAGGAGACAGACACATAATCTCTGTTCGGGACACGGACAGGCCCTCACCACAGCGCCTGGGAACAAAGAAAATCCCAAGGGGACAAAGAAAGCCCCAGTTGGAATCACACAGTACTGGTCTTCCAAACGGCCCCCTCATTCCCCGCCCCAAGAATTTCAAGGCACATTGCGCCCGCCCAAAGTCTAAGCAGGCGCTGAGAGAGCCACTACACAGCCCGACGAGGGCGCCAGAACGGCGCAAGAAGAGCCGAACGACGATGACAACGACGACCCTCCCACTTCTGCCTCCCTTCTCGTCCGCGCCCTCTTCATCTCTCCTTCGCGTCCCATCCCCATCCTCATCTTCTTCCTTGTTCTAATCCGGGCACGGGCGGGACCGCTAGCAAGCATCATCACAGTGCGGTCAAGTTCCGGCGTAAGATGCTCGCGCACGGCGCCGGGCCCCGCTTTTTTTTGCTCTGCCGCCCTGCCCGCTCGGGCAGTGCCGCAGGCGAGCACTGCGTCACGGCCATCTGCGGCCCAAGATTGTCCGCGTGCCGCGAGAAAAGCAGCGTGTCAAAACGCGTGGCTCGCGGGCTCCGCCTCGCGGCGCTCCCCTGCCTACGTCACCAGTGGGGGCGTGAAGATCATCGCGCTTCGCGCGACGCGGCCCGAGCCAGGAGGAGGAGGAGGAGGAGGAGGAGGAGGAGGTGGAGGGAGGAGAGGAGGACGGAGGAGGAGGAGGAGGAGGAGGAACGAGGAGGAGGGAGGGAGGAGCAAGGAGGGAACAGAAACGAGGAGCAAAACGAGGAGGAGAAGGAGGAGGAGGAGGAGGAGGAGGAGGGAGGAGGAGGAGGAGGAGGAGAGGAGGAGGAGGAGGTTGGAGGAGGAGGAGGTTGGAGAGGAGGAGGAGGAGGATGGGAGGAGGAGGAGGAGGGAGGAGGAGGAGGAGGAGGAGGAGGAGGAGGAGGAGGAGGGGGGGGGGGCGAGGGCGCGGAGGTGGTCGCGCATCGCGGGCGCGATGCGCGCAGGTCGGGTGGCCCGGCGCCCTCGGCTCGCCAGCTCTGCCCCCTGGAGCGCGCCTTCTCCACGCCCCCTGGGCCGCGTCCTCACCTCTCTCCTCCTCCTCCTCCTCCTCCTCCTCCTCCTCCTTCAGCCTCCTCCTCCTCCTCCTCCACCTCCTCCTCCTCCTCCTCCTCCTCCTCCTCCTCCTCCTCCTCCTCCGCCTCCTCTCCTCCTCCTCCTCCTCCTCCTCCAGCATCCTCCTCCAGCCTCCCTCCTCCTCCTCCAGCTCCTCCTCATCCTCCTCCTCGCCTCCTCCTCCTCTCCTCCTCCTCCAGCCTCCTCCTCCTCCTCCTATCCTCTCCTCCTCCTCCTCTTCCTCCTCTTCCTCCTCCTAGTCGGGGGCGGCAAAGAGGGGGGGGGTGTCTAGGGGGGGTGGATCTCATGGCGTGGGCCAAGGTATCTCCCCAGATCTCACGGCGCCTGTTCTTGCTTCCTTGGGCCGCGCACGTGCCGCCGGCCATGATCTGCACCCCCCCCCTCTTGGACGCCCCCCTCTTGGCCGCCCCCGATCCTGGTCCCCCCCCTCTTCGTTCTGTTCTTTGGTTGACTGGTCTCGGCATCGTGAGGCTCGCAGCGTCGGCGTTGGTCGCCCCGCGGCGCGCCAGATGTACCGCCCCCACAGGCGACCCCCAGGCGCCCCCAAGACCGAATCACGGGACGCGAAGATCCCCGAGAGCACCCATGGAACGATTGGACGGTACAGTCGGGGCGCCGAAGAAGGAGCCCTTCTCTTCTGGGAGGGGCTCGGTGTTCCCTAGTTGTTTTGCAGTTCGCCCTCGGCTGCCCCCTCCCATGGGGAAACGAAGCTCGACCTGGGGAAGAGAGGGGCCTCGCTCCTGATGTAGGGTTCCTCAGGTCAACGCCCTCACTGTACCCAAAGGCAGGCGTGCGAGGAGGAGGAGGAGGAGGAGGAGGAGGAGGAGGAGGAGGAGGAGAGGAGGAGGAGGAGGAGGGAGGAGGAGGAGAGAGGAGAGAGGAGGAGGAGGAGGAGGAGGACGAGGAGGAGGAGGTTGGAGGAGGAGGAGGAGGAGGACGAGGGCACGCGGCGCCGTGTCCGGACCGGCACCCTGCCCGGGGCTGCGACCCGCGCGCGCCTGCGGGGCGCAGGCAGGCCAGGGGTGCCACGCTCGGGCGCGTCGTGTGCACCGCGCGGGGGGGCGTGCTGATGGGCACGACGGGCCTGTCTTCGACTCACCACCAGGCGTCGGAGGGGGGGGGGTCTTCTTCCTCCTCCTCCTCCTCCTCCTCCTCCCTCCTCCTCCTCCTCCTCCTCCTCCTCCTCCTCCTCCTCTCCTCCTCCTCCTCCTCCTCCTCCTCCTCCTCCTCCTCCTCCTCCTCCTCCTCCTCCCCCTCCCCTCCCCCTCCCCCTCCCCCTCCCCCTCCCCCTCCCCCTCCTCCCCCTCCTCCTTCCCCCCTCGAACGTATGGTGGTGGTGGTGGAAAGCAGGCCCATCAGAGCACGTTCCATCAGCGGCGGGATGTTCTGATGGTGGACGTGGATTTTCTGCTGGCGGTGCTGCTGATGCCGCCAGTGATAGTCCATCAACGGCGGGCTGTTCTGAGGATGGTGTTGTTGGTTGAGTCGTCTGGATCCCAGAGAAAGGGAGGAGGACATGGGCAGCGAGGATGATCATGCTGAGGAGGGGAGAGAAGAGGGAAGAAAAGGAGATACAAAGGGAGGGAGAATGACGAACGAACGAGGTGGAACAAATCGAGGGAGGAGTGAGGAGTGAGGAGGAATGGGGAACAAGGCGGAAGGAAAAACTTGGAGGCAGGAGGAGGACATTGTCCGGATGACGAAGGACGATACCATAATATAGACAAGAGGAAAGAGGGAGTACGTTTGGGGAAAGGAAAGGTGGATTATGTATAGCGCAAGAGGGAAGGCAACACGGAGGGGGGATGGATGAGGAGACAGGAAGGCCGAAAGAGAAGGAACAGGCAATAATGATGATGCAGAGGGAGGAAGGAGGACAGAAGAAAAGAAAGGGAAACAGGGAGGAAGGATGGAAGAGGAGAGAGGAAGGAAGAGGAGGAGGAGGAGGAGGAGGAGGAGGAGGAGGAGGAGGAGGAGGAGGAGGAGTTGGAGGAGGAGGAGGAGGAGGAGGAGGAGGAGGAGGAGGAGGGGGGGGGTAGGCGGATCTATTGTTTTGAGCCCCTTGAACGGAGGAGGGAGGACGAGCGTGAACGGACGAGTGAAGGAGGAGAGGGAGGGGAGGACGGGAGTGAGACTGTTGGGTGTTCGAACATCCGGAAGGGAGAAGTTTGGGAGCGAGGAGGGAAGCAAGGAGGAGGAAGAGAGGTGGAAAGAAGGGCAAGGAAGGGAGGGGAACGGGGAGGGGATGTGGATAGGCGGGGTTGGGGAAGAGTGGCGAAGGAAAGGGGAGGAGGGGGGAACGGTGGGGGGGAAAAGGGGATGGATGAGGGGGATGAGCAATGGGGGCAAGAGAGGGAAAATGGAGGGAGAAAGGAGGGGGGTGGGAGAGGGAGATAGAGGAGGAAGTGGAGACTCGAGGAGCCTATCTTGGCCTATTTGGGTCTCAGGAGACCTCCAGAAATCTCCAGGAGCCCCAGGGTGACCCTGGGAGCCTCCACACATCGATTTCTTGTGTGGGGGCGCCTCCACAACTTGACTTCTTTGTGGGGGCGCCTCCAATGGTAGAACTACTTTGGGGAGATTCACACATATATTTCTTCTGTGGTAGGTTCTCCACATCGATTTCTTCTGTGGGGGAGCCTCCACTGATAGATGTGTTTTTTTGGTGGAGCCTCCACACATCGATTCCTTTGGTTGGAAAGTCTCCACACATGTTTCTTTTTTGGAGGAGCCTCCACACATAGATTTCTTCTGTGTGGTGGGGGGGGGGTGAAGGGGCCGATCTGGGAGAAAAGAGTTTCCCTTCCAAGAAACAGATTTTCGATTTGAGCTCAAGGGTCTGTCTTTTCACAGGGTCTGTCTTTTGACCGCAATGAGCACACCACCCCCTGTGCGACGAAAGCTGCGAAGAGGAAAGGTGCGTGTGACACAGGATACCTCTCGGAGGTGGCGACCCTGCTTTCGCTGGGCTTGGTGCCCCTCGGGACCCGGAACTTTTTGGAACAAACCCGTGTGAAATTAGGAGGTTCGCTTTACCTGTGTTCCTTGACATGGTGTCGTGGCCGCCACATCCCTCTGAGAATTGATTCAACGAGATCAAACGAGATTCCCTGGACTCGGGTCTCTCCAGAACTACTGGAGAGCAGCAGTCAGAGGTCCAGCCCCCTCCCCAGAGGTCCAGCCCCGTACATCCAGCCGCGGCCCCAGAGGTCCAGACCCCCTCCCCGTGGATCCTTGCTCGTCCCGGCTCGTTTGCCGCAGCCCCGCGGCCCGACGACCGCCCCGCCAGAGGCCAAAATAACAGGCACACGCCGGGATAGCAAGACACATACGTATTGCGCTGGAGATCGGGGTCGACGGCGGCATCGGCGACGGCACCGCGGTGACACGGGCGACACCTACGACGACATCGACGCGACCGCGCCGACGACCTCGACGACGTCATCCACAGCCACGACGACGTCCACGACGACGACGCCCGCGACGGCGGCATCGACGACGGCACCGCGATGACATGGGCGACACCTACGACGACATCGACGACCATGACGACGACCACGACGACGACCTCGACGACGCTATCCACAGCCACGACAACGCGCACCACGACGAGGCGCCGCTCCGCGCCGCCGCGCGGGCCCGCAGCTGGGCCGGCGGCGGCGGCGGCGACGACGCCGACGAGACCGACGACGCCGACGACGACGGCGGCTGCGGCGGCGACGACGACGACGTCGACGACGAGTTCTACGACGAGGACTACCACGGGGGCGGCGACGGCGGCGGCGACGACGACGGCGACGGCGACGGCGACGACGACGATCACGACCACGACGGCCACGACGACCACGACGATCGCGACGACGACCTCCGCCGCGCGCGCCCGCAGCCCGGACCGCCGCGCGCCGCGCCCCGCCGCCGCGCGGGCGGCGCGCCGCGCGCCCCGCGGACGGCGCCCCCGCCCGGCCATGCGCGCGCCATGGCCGGGCGCCCGCGCGCGGTGAGCGCGGCCGCGGCGGCGGCGCCCCCGCCGCCGCGCGCGCGGCCGGCGCCCCACGCGGCCATGGGAGGCCATGCCCGCCCTCTCTCTCTCGTCGTCGCCGCCACCGCCGCCGTCGCCGTCGCCGTCGTCGTCGTCGTCGTTCGTCGTCATCGTCGTAATCGTCGCCGTCGTCGTCGTCGGCGTCGTCGGTCGTCGTCGTCGCCCTCCGTGGGGCTTAGTCAGACATCCAGCGTCGCTGCGCCACGACGACGACGACGCTGACGACGACGAGATCGGCGACGACGACGACACAGACGACGCCGACGACGACGACGACGACGACGACGACGACGACGACGACGACGACGACGACGGCGCCATGGGTCTCGAGGAGATCTCGGGCAGCGAGAAGTGTGCACGCGTACCGATCCTGAGGCCAGGCCA